ACCCCCAACTCTCCTTAAAGATGTTAATAATGTTACCGCTGCTTTTTGAATCAGAAGAGTGTCCATAGGACATTCTAGCTTCCTGGTGCCTTTTCTGAGTCTTATCGTCACCCACGGAATTTCTCAAGATAGCAAGTGCTGTTTCTGTTCTCCCTGCTGCTCTTTCTCAAACCCTGTTGTGTTTGGAATTCGAGCATCACCCCTTGAGCAGCACCATAAAACCAATTCTCTCTCTCTCCTGGATTGAGCAGACATCCTGCTACAAAAAGAGAGACTTCAGAGAATATATAAATATGTAATAAAGCACTAGGGTGCTCAATAATTAATCTTTCACACAGAAGAAAGCTTGTGTGGGTTTTTTGGGGGATTTTTTTTTAAGCTAAAAAACCCCCCTGGCATGCTACTGTTCCCTCTCCAAACTCCATCCCTGTCTAATGGAACAGGCCTGTGTTGGGAGAACCCAGAAAAGAAATGCATCACATCGGACCTTATAATGAGATTCTAAGATCACTTGCTTATCAGAATTCTACAGTACCTTAACCCATGCTTGTCCCTGAGCTTTGGAATTCATATCTTTTAGAATTGCTTGGAAACGAAAAGTCCTCTTTCCCTCAGATCTGTTTCTAGTTGGGTTTAATGCAAAATTCAACTTGCTCTTTGCATATCGAAGGGCAAGTGGACTAGCGCTCGTTTTCTCTCAGGTGTTCTTAATCAGCGTGTTGGTCTCGCAGCAGATCAAGTCTTAAAAAAAAAAAAAAAAATCCACTAAGTAAAGAGGTATATTTTGGTTTTATCTAGGAAGGCGGTGCGCTATTTTAGACAGAGCATGGAGTGGGAACCAGGAATTTCTGAACTCTTAGTCCTGGTTGCGTGTTTTCTTGGGCAAGTTACTTCCCATCCCGTATCCCCAGCTGTAAAAAAGGGGGTACCGCTGTTTATGTATCTGGCTGGGGGACGGCGGCTGTGAAGAATTGATGGAAGTTGCAGAGGACTGTAAGTGTAAAGTGTTGTTCAGGCTGAGAACACAATGACACTCTACCGTAGAGAATGGGGCACTGTGTACGTGTCAATATATTATTTAGCACTCACAGATGTCTTAACTTTTTTCAGTTGGAGACTCTTCCCCACCACTCGTAGCGGTGGAAGGCCTTGTTGTTACTGTTTATAAAAAGTGACGTCTCTCTTCTAAAGTGCTGCCATTGTCAGAAAGTGACTGTAAAAATGACTTGTAGGGCTCCATGTTTATTCCTTCTCTGGTCCTTCCTATCCTACAATGATCCACACAACTGGGGAACGTGGTGGAGCACCATCAGGGTTAGAACACGGTGGCTTCTTGCATATATGGACAGGAAAAACCACATACGAACCGGGCTAAGGAACATCTTTTATCCTAGGTACCTATCACAGTTACTGGGCAAACTGCACCTCTGAACTGTCCTCGTCTCATCAAGTGCACCTGCTCTCAGGCCTTGAGCCATCACCTGGCTCAGGGGTATCACATGATTCTCCCATTCTGACCAGCCTCGGGATTGCAGGCCCATGGTACTAACTGTGATGGCCTCAGAATATCACACTTAGGGCATGTCTACCCTAGAAACTCCCCATTGCCAGGAGGCCGGCTGCCTCCCCAACTCCTCACCTCCTCACTGCCAGGAGCCTGGCTGCCCATCCTGCAGCCGGGCTCCCAGTGGGAAGCAGGGAGCCGGGTGGGCGTAGCCCGGCTGGGAGCCATGAAATTGACAAGAATGACAGCCAACAGCTGATATAAGTAACCCCCAGTGTCTACAGGGACACGGCGTTGCCATAACTACACCGATAGAAGCCTTACGTATCTCGTGGAAGTGGAGTTATTCTGTCGGTGCAGCAGGGCACTTACATCAGCGGGAGCAAGGCTGTAGTGTGGACGCTGACATAATGACCTTAGGCTCGGGCCCTGCAGTCTTTTCCCTCTGCGAACAATGACTGTGGTTAGTGCAGTGACCAGAAAGCCTTCTCTTCGCAAAAAGTAATTTAGAACAAAAGCATTTGAGAGAAAACATCGTGTCTAAGTCTACCCCGAGGCTGGCTATTCCCTGGATGTGGGAGGGCCCAGCTGCTTCAGACTCCCTCTGCGTACTCTCTCTGGCAGCCTGTCTCCATACATAGCTGTTGACAAGTGACTCCCCCTAAAAAGGACTTTAAAACTCTTTTCTCTTGCTCTCCAGGCTCCTAGCTTGGGCAAAACCAGACTTGCAGCTTCCTTGGAGACAGGCTCTTTGAAGCTAACAGCTTCAAACAGCTTTGTCTTGTGTCTGCACACTGGGATGTTCTTATCTAGATCTAGTGCACTGCTTTCTGTTTGCTCTTCCCACAGCTCCCTATCAAGCTGGATCATTACAGTCGCACAGGAAATTTAAAAACCCACCGTAGTACTACAGTAACTATCTCGCTGACCAATCATATCGAGCATTCATGAATGATGACACCTCACTGGTTTTTAGATAGCAGTATCACGGAACCTGCCAGGGTTAAACACAGTACTTCACATGATTGCAGCATGGCATTTTCCTGTTGACTACAGGCAAGGGAAAACCTGTTCCAGTGCAACAGGTCACACGTACATCTAAACCAGGTGCTGTCGCACCACCTAACGCCTTCCTGATCCATCTTGCTCCGCTCACAGGTCTATCCTAAATGCCCAGCACGGCCAGCTTTCTCTGGGTGTGACAATGCAGCTGTTCTCTCTGCCTCCTTTAGTCTACGTGCAGCAATAAAGATGCTGCATCGGAGCTTGGCTGTCAGGGCTGTCAATACAGTGGGCAGAATAAAATCCACCTCACTCTGCCGTTCTAACGGGGGTTTTGAAAAAAGGGTCTGTGTAGTCAGTAGCTCTGATTCAGGGAGCGGCGCAGCTACGTGACTTAAACACAGGCAGCGCTTCCGTCCGTGGGATGGGCAGCTAATGGCACAAAGTAACGATACCCAAGAGCCATGTGGAACGTTTAGCCCTTGGGGACCATCCATCCCCACTAGACTGACTTGTTCCACCACAGCTGGGTGCCTTGGGATTATTCCTGGGATTCTATATTAAAGGACCCTTTGTTCATATCTCTGCCTCTGCAAAAACATCTCATGTGCCCCTTTCCCCAAGGCCATGCCATCCCGCATCAGTGGCAAAAGCTAAGATTCTGCGGTCAAAGAAGCAAGCAGGCCAGCTTTCTGTGCTGGCAAAGTGTGCTCTGAAGCAGGAGAGCATAGACAGATTTAGTTTGGAGTGAAATTGCGCTTCGTGACCACCAGGACTCTCTTTCAGCCAGACCCTTTGGTGGCACATCCTCACACCCCTGAAACGAGTGTGAATGTGGGGTGTGGCAGAAAGCTGGGGGAGGCAAGAGAGGTTCCTGCTCATTTTAACAGGCTCAGAGGACAAGTGTGAAACGGGGCAGGAAAAATAACCCAAACGCTTCCTGCTGCTGACGCAAGAGCTCTCGTAAACCAAAGAGCAAACATTGGCCTCTCTTACCAGGTATTGCTTATAGCAGGGGGAGTTAATTCTGTTGAATTGGGGGTGGGGATGATTTTCAAAGGTGAAGAAGGCAGTGAGGCAGCTGGCTCCCATTTGTGCCCTTGATCATCTCCATGGGATGAATATATTGGAGGGGTCAGTCTCCTGGCTGGATGGATGCACTACAAGGTGGGTAGAAAGTTGGCTAGATTGTAGGGCTCAACGGATAGTGATCAATGGCTCCATGTCTAGCTGGCAGCCGGTATCTGGCGGAGTGCCCCAAGGGTCGGTCCTGGGGCTGGTTTTGTTCAATATCTTCATTAATGATCTGGAGGATGGTGTGGATTGCACCCTTAGCAAGTTTGCGGATGACACTAAACTGGGAGGAGTGGTAGATACGCTGGAGGATAGGGATAGGATACAGAGGGACCTAGACAAATTGGAGGATTGGGCCAAAAGAAATCTAATGAGGTTCAACAAGGACAAGTGCAGAGTCCTGCACTTAGGACGGAAGAATCCAATGTACCGCTACAGACTAGGGACCGAATGGCTAGGCAGCAGTTCTGCAGAGAAGGACCTAGGGGTGACAGTGGACGAGAAGCTGGATATGAGTCAACAGTGTGCCCTTGTTGCCAAGAAGGCCAGTGGCATTTTGGGGTGTATAAGTAGGGCATTGCCAGTAGATCGAGGGACGTGATCATTCCCCTCTATTCGACATTGGTGAGGCCTCATCTGGAGTACTGTGTCCAGTTTTGGGCCCCACACTACAAGAAGGATGTGGAGAAATTGGAGAGAGTCCAGCGAAGGGCAACAAAAATGATTAGGGGACTGGAACACATGACTTATGAGGAGAGGCTGAGGGAACTGGGATTGTTTAGTCTACGGAAGAGAAGAATGAGGGGGGATTTGATAGCTGCTTTTAACTACCTGAAAGGTGGATCCAAAGAGGATGGATCTAGACTATTTTCAGTGATAGGAGATGACAGGACAAGGAGTAATGGTCTCAAGTTGCAGTGGGGGAGGTTTAGGTTGGATATTAGGAAAAACTTTTTCACTAGGAGGGTGGTGAAACACTGGAATGCGTTGCCTAGGGAGGTGGTGGAATCCCCTTCCTTAGAAGTTTTTAAGGTCAGGCTTGACAAAGCCCTGGCTGGGATGATTTAGTTGGGATTGGTCCTGCTCTGGGCAGGGGGTGGGACTAGATGGCCTCCAGAGGTCCCTTCCAACTCTGTTATTCTATGATTCTATGATTCCTAGCTTGGGATCCTTTGGGGCTGCAAGGCAGCCAATAAGAATTGGCTCAGCTAGTAAAGCAAACCAAGCATCCCTTTAAGTGTCTAAAGGTCCCTTCCATCTTCCCTGCAGGTGATATGGTGACAAGCTCGCGGATGTAGTTGTTTCGGCTGAGGATGAGCAAGCCCAGAGACTTGCAGCATGACCTGGAGCGGAGCCTCCCAGCCATTGCATCCATGAGCACCTCCCTCTCGCAGAGCCAGGGCTTCTCACCGCGCTATTACTTCTCCCCGGAGAAGAGGAAAGCCATCTCGGATGTCAGGAGGACTTTCTGCCTCTTTGTCACCTTCGACCTGCTGTTTGTGTCTCTGCTGTGGATAATTGAGCTGAATGTGAGTTCTGGGCGCTTTCTGATGGGGGAGCAGTGAATGAATCTTCCCTGTTGATTTTGGGATGCCGTCCACCCATTTTAACAGCCCCATTCTGAAACCCTAGGGCCAGGTCCTCAGCTGATTTCCAGGGCACTGCACCACTTCACACCAGTTGAGGATCTGGCCCATAAAGCTGTTACAAACAGAGGTCCTCATCCTTTCCCTGGGCTTGGCATTGGGCACATGGTGACTGTGACAGGATCCCCAGGGTGCAGCCTGGGACCGTGGGACTGCTGTGCCCCCTGAACTCTCTCCAGCCTGGCCTGTCTCTCAGCGCCTTGCTAGTGACCAGCAGCAAACTCCTCCAGGTGCTGTGATCACTCATGTGGAGACCCAACACCCAGCTAGATTGAATGAATGCTCCCAGATCCACTCATGAATCACACAGGGAAAGGCCCCAGCCAAACACCCCCACCCCAAATTGGTTCACCACTTCATCAATGGAAAGTGGATATACACCAGCCTTCGCAAAACCTGAGCAGATTTGCCACACACTTTGTACAAACTCACTGGTAAAGATAAACAGTACAACAAATGTATTGACTACAAAAAATAGATTTTTTAAGTGATATTAAGTGATAGGCAAAAAGTCAGAGTCAGTTACCAAAAGAAAATAAAACATAAGCACCCAGTCTAAACTCTTAACCCTGTTAGATTGGGCAACATCTAGATTAAGCAGTTTTTTCTCACCCCACTGGATATCGCAGTTCATAGTACACAGATTTCACCCTTGAAATCTGGGCCAGTCTTCTCTGTGTCCTTGTTGCTTGCAGCATGGGTGGGGGCAGGAGAAAGGTGAAGCAGGGGCCTGCTCTGTTCTGTGTTATACCCTCAGTCCCATGTGTTTGGGGAACACACAAGTCCAGGCATGTCTGGGGGGCATTGCTGAGTCTCCAGGCCAGGTTGAATGAAAGGGAGGACTTGTGGCACCTTAGAGACTAACCAATTTATTTGAGCATAAGCTTTCGTGAGCTACAGCTCACTTCATCGGATGCATTCTGTAGCTCATGAAAGCTTATGCGCCAATAAATTGGTTAGTCTCTAAGGTGCCACAAGTCCTCCTTTTCTTTTTGCGAATACAGACTAACACGGCTGCTACTCTGAAACCTGTCATTAGGCAAGGTTGAGCAATTCCCCTGGTGTGGCCTCCTGCAGGTCATTGAATTGCCCCTCCCTTGCTGGACAATGGCTGTTGATGGGTTGTTTGAAACCCTGCTGGGGTGTTGGTTACTTTCCTTGCTGTTGCCTCTGGGGAGCTAATATCTGGCTGATTTCGCCAACTTACAGCGTGTTTTAGTGACAACCATACAACACAATTCTCATAACTTCATAGACATTAATGAGAGTCATTTTTCTATCCGTATATGTATTTCAGCAGATCAGAACCTTTCCCCCGATACCTCACACGGCCTGCTTTATATGCAAGATCACAATTCTATATCAATGCGGAACATGGAGGTTACAGGGCACTCCCCCGAGGTACAGAATGTCACAGTGACCTTGCTTGTGATATTAATAAGTGGTCAGAAAAGCAGCATCTCAACAGCTTTGGTGCTACCATCCCAGCTGGAAAAGAGCCTGGTTTGAGATCCTGTGGATAGCTGCATTGCTCAGTCTGAGCAGCGGGTCTGTTCTGACCAACCTCCTCCAGTGCGTCCCCCTTAGTAAAGGGGAACTGATGAACTTTTTGCGAGCCGCTGCCTGTCTCCTGTGTTGTGGTGTTCCCTGCCGGGTGAAGGGGGATGTTGCATTTTGCAGGGAGAGACTTCTTGCTTACACATTTGCGACTGGGCTTTGAAGCTGCATGTGCTGCTGTTCTATCCTGTTATGGTAGGAGCAGAAAGGAGATGATCAGAGATGCATCTCCAATTCTACGTGCAGCCCTCACCAGTCTGGCCTTATTTATTATGACTGGATCCCCGAGGATATATCAGCTATTATCTTCATGTCCTGTTTACCTCGTTCAGAGTCTGCACTTAACAGTTTGTCTCAGTCCGCAGTTCAGTTCACACCACCCCCCAGAAATGACGTGAGTAGTACTGAGGGTCTGTCTAGGAACCACAGGAGCAAGGAAATTAACAGCCAGTGTTCCACTAGGGCCAATGGGTTACTATAGAAACCCCTTGTGGGACCTGTCCTCTTGTGAATTCCCTTGACCCTGTGGGATTGCCCTCCTCCAGGGCTGGTGGGAGAGGAAGGAGGGGTCTCTTGAATTTTGATTTGCAACGTGACTCATGGAAATAAAGCTAGTGTCCAAGCTACCAAATTATTTTTCAGGATCCAGTTTTGCTCCCAGCTGTGTTAGCTTGTGAGTTGCCCTTAACTGAGACTAAATGATAACCTATGGGCCTTGAGCCCAGGAGCTGTATGTTTGAACGTGTTAAGATGGCTCACTTGCACTGCTGTGAAAATTACCAGGTTCGTGCAGTGACTCATGCATCTAAAACGCTCAAATGGTTCTCACTCGCTTGTTGCAATATTGACAACTCATTCAGTTCTCATTAAGTGCACCAGTCACCTGCACACTTGAATTGTCCAAGCACGTCCGTTTCTGAGTGAAAGGAACTCCCCAAACAGTCTTTTGTTTCTTCGGGGCAGCGGTGTTTGTTTAAACTTTCATTTTTTTCCAAAAAAAGAACAGGAGGGCTTGTGGCACCTCGGAGACTAACACATTTATTTGCACGTAAGCTGTAGTGCTCCTTTTCTTTTTGCAAATACAGACTAACACGGCTGCCACTCTGAAACCTACCATTTTTTTCCAAGAAGTTTAGCCCAAAGCCCTCGTCCCTTCCCTCCTGTGGTGAGATCTCCTGTCAAATTCAATCTTTGGTATGAATTTTTAAGCCGTTGCTCTGTGAAACCTGCTGGATTGCCAGCCCGGGAGACAGAACTCCTCTCACCACAGAACAGATACAGCAGCAGTGCAGAATCACTGCTCTCCTCCCATATGCCCCAGCCCTGATCTATAGGGAACGCTTTTTGGTGGCTGCCTAGTCAGTCCTTGGCCTCTCCAGCAAAAGGGTACGCATGACAGCAGCGGCTTTTATGATGCGAATGGCTGTCCGCTATGGACGAAGACCCACCAACTGGTTTCTCATAGACCATGAAACAGCTGTCAGAATGTAACAACTTCCAGTCCAGCTGGGCTGTATTCCACCCAATAGCCTGAAGGTGAAAGGCTGGTTCCAATTACCTGAACCATCCAGTCCCTCATAAGCCAAAGTTCCAAGCCTCTAAAAATAGGATTTGTGGTACAAAAATCCCACTGGCAGGCCCTTAACTATGCTCTGAAGCAGAGTTATTTTGACACAATAGATGCTAGACCCTTAATAGCATTCCTGTACAGAACGAATTGGCTTCCTTTTTTCCCCTCTGCCTCAAGCCACAGCACATTTACCTGGGAGTTGACTGATCAGTGCTAATGTCGTCTTCCTTCTTTAGCCCTTTAGCGCTACGGGGTTAGGTCGAATTTAGCCATGTTAGGTCGATTTTAAAATGAATGCATCTACGCAACCAACCCCGTTCCATCGACCTAAAGGGCTCTTAAAATCGACTTCTGTACTCCTTCCCGGTGAGGGGAGTAGCGCTAAAATTGACCTTGCTGTGTCAAATTTGGGGTAGTGCAGACGCAATTCATCAGTATTGGCCTCTGGGAGCTATCCCAGAGTGCTCCAGTGTGACCGCTCTGTACGGCACTTTGAACTCCGATGCACCAGGAACTTTTGATTTAATTTCCTATTTGGTCAGCGTGGCTAGCTCAGCAGCACAGGTGACCATGCAGTCTCCCCCAGAATTGGAAACGAGCTCCAGCATGGACTGAAAGGGAGACACTGGATCTGATTGCTCTATAGGGAGAAGAATCTGTGCAGGCCGAACTCTGATCAAAAAGAAATGCTAATATATATACCAAAATCGCACAGGGCATGGTGGAGAGAGGCTACAACAGGGACACACAGCAGTGCCACGTGAAAGTTAAGGAGCTCAGGCAAGCCTACCAAAAGACAAAGGAGGCAAATGGTCGCTGCAGATCAGAGCCCCATACATGCCGCTTCTATGATTAGCTGCATGGCATTCTAGGGGGGACCCTACCACTACCCCACCACTGTTCGTGGACACCTGCAAGGGGGAAGTCTCACACAACAGGGAGGAGGATTTTGTGGATGAGGAAGAGGAGGAGGAGGAGAATGTGCAGCAGGCAAGCGGTGAATCCGTTCTCCCCGGCAGCCAGGACCTTTTCATCACTCTGGAGCCAATACCCTCCCGAGGCGGGATCCCCAACCCTGAAGCCGGAGAAGGCAGCTCTGGTGAGTGCACATTTGTAACTACAGTACAGGGTTTAAAAGCAATAGTGTTTGTTTGATTTGCCCTGAAGAATTGGGATGCATTCACGGACAGTACAGCTACTGGAAAAGTCTGTTAACGTGTCTGGGGATGGAGCCGGAATCCTAGAATATTAGGTTTGAAAGGGACCTGAGGAGGTCATCTAGTCCAACCCCCTGCTCAAAGCAGGACCAATCCCCAATTTTTGCCCTAAATGGCCCCCTCAAGGATTGAACTCTCAACCCTGAGTTTAGCAGGCTAATGCTCAAACCACTAAGCTCTCCCTCCCCCCAGTCTCCATGAAGCTCTCCTGGAGGTACTCTGAAAGCCTTTGCAGAAGGTTTCTGGGGAGGGCTGCCTTATTTTGTTCTCCATGGTAGGACACTTTACCACACCAAGTCAGTAGCAAGTAGTCTGGAATCATTGCAGCACAAAGCATGTCAGTGAATGGTCCTGGGTTTTAGTCACATTCAAGCAACATTCAGTCTGTATCTTTCTGTGTTAGCCTCAGGAGAGTGATATCATTCATGGTCACCTGGCTGAAATGGGGGAATTTTCGTAAGCGAACAGTCAAAGGACCCTGTTCATGCTGGGTTGTTTGCGCTTGGCTAAAAGGGATCGTCCCAGAGAATTCCCACGCGGTGGGGGGAGGGGTGAAGGGATCATCCCAGAGAATAGCCAAATGGTGGGGTGTGGGGAGGTGTGTGCTTCACATCCACCCGAAAACTGCAGCCCTTCCTTTTAAATGTGAAACTGAACCGGCATTGCTTGCTATGGGAAAGGATGGCGCTGCAGTTTGAAACCATTCCCACATGTTATGAAGGTGTAAGAAGCCAACCCCGCGTACCAAAAGGCTTACCATGGCTGCCTGGAAACCGAATTCTGTTGCCCAGCCATTTGTGATGTGTCACCATATCAGCAGGCGCTCAATATAAAAGGCAAAATGCGACCTTCTACCTAAAGCACATGTGCTGTCTGCTGTGAATTGCTTGATTCACTGTGAAAGAGTCTCCCTTTTGTTCTCAGAAATGTATCATCTTAAATTTTACTCTCCCTTTTTATCCCCACCTCCCCTCCCAGGTGCAAATGTTTCTGTGCTCCCCATATCATCTCCGTCCCTGAGGTTATCGCAGATTAGAAGGCAAAAAAAAATGCACGTGTGATGACATGTTTTCAGAGCTCATGCGTCCTCCCGCACTGATAGGACAGCTTAATGCATGGAGGCATTCAGTGGCAGAGGCCAGGAAAGCATTAAGTGAGCGTGAGGAGCAAAGGCAGGAGGCGATGCTGAGGCTAATGTGGGAGCAAACAGACATGATGAAGCGTCTGTTGGAGCTGCAGGAAAGCCAACAAGAGCACAGACCCCCGCTGCATCCATTGTATAACCTCCTGCCCTCCTCCCCAAGTTCCATATCCTCCTCACCCAGACGCCCAAGAACGCGGTGGGGAGGCTCCGGGCACCCAGCCACTCCACTCCAGAGGATGGCCCAAGCAACAGAAGGCTGTCATTCAAACAGTTTTGATTTGTAGTGTGGCTACAATAAGCAATGTGGCTTTGTCCTTCCCTTCTCCCACACCCCACTCCACCCAGGCTACCTTGTCAATTATCTCACTTCTTTTTTTAATTAATAAAGAAAGAATGCATGGTTTCAAAACAATAGTTACTTTATTTCCTTTGCCAACTGTGATCGAAGGGGGGAGGGTGGTTGGCTGGCTTACAGGGAATTAAAATCAACAAAGGGGGCAGGTTTGCAGCAAGGAGAAACACACACAACTGTCACACAGTAGCCTGGCCAGTCATGAAACTGGTTTTCAAAGCCTCTCTTGATGCATAGCGCACCTAGCTGTGCTCTTCTAATCGCCCTGGTGTCTGGCTGCTCAAAATCAGCCACCAGGTGATTTGCCTCAACCTCCCACCCCATCATAAATGTCTTCCCCTTCCTCTCACAGATATTATGGAGCACACAGCAAGCAGCAATAACAATGGGAATATTGATTGCGCTGAGGTCTAACATAGTCAGCAAACAGCGCCAGCGAGCTTTTAAACATCCACAGGCTCATTTTACCACCATTCTGCACTTGCTCGGCCTATAGTTGAACTGCTTCTTACTACTGTCCAGGCTGCCTGTGTACGGCTTCATGAACCATAGGAGCAAGGGGTAGGCTGGGTCCCCAAGGATAACTATTGGCATTTCAACATCCCCAATGGTAATTTTCTGGTCTGGGAAGTAAGTCCCTTCTTGCAACTGTTTGAAGAGCCCGGAGTTCCTAAAGATGCGAGCGTCATGCACCTTTCCCAGCCATCCCACGTTGATGTTGGTGAAACGTCCCTTGTGATCCACCAGTGCTTGCAGCACCATTGAGAAGTACCCCTTGCAGTTTACATACTAGTTGGCAAGGTGGTCCGGTGCCAAGATAGGGATATGCGTTCCGTCTATCGCTCCACCCCAGTTAGGGTACCCCATTGCAGCAAAGCCATCCAGTATGACCTGCACATTTCCCAGAGTCACTACCCTTGATAGCAGAACTTCAGTGATTGCCTTGGCTACTTGGATCACAGCAGTCCCCACAGTAGACTTGCCCACTCCAAACTGATTCCCGACTGACTGGTAGCAGTCAGGCATTGCAAGCTTCCTCAGGGCTATTGCCACTCGCTTCTCAACTGTCAGGGCAGCTCTCATCTTGGTATTCCTGGGCTTCAGGGCAGGGGAAAGCAACTCACAAAGTTCAAGGAAAGTGGCCTTAACGCATGCAAAAGTTTCGCAGTCACTATGAATCATCCCATACCCGCAACACTATGCGGTCCCACCAGTCTGTGCTTGTTTGCCGGGCCCAGAATCAGTGTTCCACTGTATCAACCAGCCCCACTACCGCTATGATATCCCAATTGCCACAGCCCATGCTTTCAGGAACGTCTGTGTCCATGTCCTCATCACAATCGTCCTCGTGCTGGCATCTCTTAGCCCGGTTCTGCACATTCTCCAGGATAATGTGCGAGGGGTTTACAATGCTCACAACAGCAGCAGTGAGCTGAGCGGGCTCCATGCTTGCCATGGTATGGCGTCTGCACAGGTAACCCAGGAAAAAAGGTGCGAAACGATTGTCTGCCGTTGCTTTCATGAAGGGAGGGGCGACTGATGACATGTACCCAAAACCACCCGCAACAATGTTTTTGCCCCATCAGGCATTGGGAGCTTAACCCAGAATTCCAATGGGCAGCGGAGACTGCGGGAACTATGGGATAGCTATCCACAGTGCACCACTCTGTAAGTCGATGCTAGCCACGGTATTGAGGATAAACTCCGCCGACTTAATGCGCTTAGTGGGGACATACGCAATCGACTGTGTAAAATCGATTTCTAAAAATCGACTTCTATAAAATCGACCTAATTTCGTAGTGTAGACCTAACCTTAGTGTACTTCTCTGTTAGCGTTGGAATGCCTGTTAATAGGTATCATCTGAGAACAGATCTGAAGTAGTCTTGAAGAGATCTTGTATGGTATAACTTGTAAAAGAAAAAGAATATTTATGTAGACAACACCCTGTGGAAGCATCATCAATCACACAACCTTCCGAGTTCTTTCTTCGTCAATGGTCCTTTAAGAAAATCAGTTGGTTTTTTTTTCAATCCCATTCAGAGCACGCTTCCAATAACTGGATTCGAAAAGAAAATGTTTGTTTGAAATCCTGCAGGTCAAAGTGGCTGCTTATTCCGTGAGTGTGGGATTGCAAGGGGTCCTTGGTTAGCATCAGGAATCAAGTGGAAAAAAGACACACAAGCAGTTTTCTTAAGGAAGCTGGTTTTCAGTGACTGAGATTTTTGTTTTTAAATCAGTGGGTTTAAATCAATGGGTGTTTTTTCAATACCTTCTAGTACCCAAGCACTTTAAAGCATCTACATGCTGTTCCTGCTCTGTGTTACTTGCATGTGAAACAGACAGTGAAATGGAAGTGAAATGAAGTGTTGCATACGTTCATGGCTAAACATTTGCTGATGAGTCCACTTACGCATTCAGCAGACAACCCTGATACCTAACTTGAGCTAACTAATGTTTTGAACAGAACTGTCTGATTTTTATCCTCTTTAGTTTATCTCTGCACTCAACATTTCTCTGTTTCTATTCTCTCTAACCCTCAGACCAACAATGGCATTCAGAAGAACTTGGAAATCGAAATCATTGAGTACCAGTTTAAAACCTCATTCTTTGATATATTTGTAAGTATGCTAAAAAGCCAAAGGGAAAGACATTTCTCTCTAAGATAGAGGCAAGATGGCTTAATGGATAGGGCACTGGACGGGAATTCAGAAGCCCTGATTTCTGTGCCTAGCTCTGCCACTGACCTGATGAGGGACCTTGGGCCGTTCACCTCCCACCTCTTGTCTTGACTATTTAGCTAGTCCATGCCTGAAGATCTTACTGTGGCTTGCTCTGTCAGTGTGGCACCCTGCATGATCAGTTCGGCGTGAGTGTAACAGAAATAATAATTACTCTCTCCTTATCTGTGCCTCTTTTGTTTTTTAAAGGTCTTGGCTTTTTTCCGGTTTTTTGTGTTACTTCTGGGCTATGCACTCTTAAAACTGCGCCACTGGTGGGTCATCGCGGTAAGGAATCCATTTTCTGTTGTTGATGTATTGGACTTTGTCTCTCTTTAAACTGAAGCTGGCATGTAGATGTGTGTAACCATCTTCCCTTTTCCAGTTCACTACACTGGTGTCCAGTGCCTTCCTCATCGTGAAGGTCATCCTCTCGGAGGTCAGTTGCTCTCAAGGGCTCTAATGGGAGATTTTGTTTTGTCTCATGGTGTGACTTCCCCGCTTGTGTAAACTCCCTGTGGTTTTCTTTTTCTCCCCCAGCTGCTAGCCAAGGGAGCTTTTGGGTACTTACTTCCCATCGTCTCTTTCGTTATCGCCTGGCTAGAAACTTGGTTCCTGGATTTTAAAGTCTTATCTCAGGAGGCGGAAGAGGAACGATGTAAGTCACTTTCCCTTTTCACGGCTGGAGCAAACAAACCGGCTGGGGCTTTGGCAGCAGCTTGTCACCAGGTGGTGTGTGGGAACCAGGATTAAAAGTGATCTCCAGGCAGGTTGTGGAGATCAGTTGCCTCGTCTGACTTGATTATGGTCAAGGGAGACCATACCAACTACTAAAAGGACCCTTACTGTAAAGAAGACAGGTAGAACGAGAACCAGTGGCTGGAAGTTTAAAGTCGGGCCAATTCAAATTAGAAATAAGACCTCACTGTTTAACAGTGCGGGTGATTAGCCACTGGCACAGTCTCCCAAGAGCAGAGTTGGGACCGTGTGCCCTTCTGGAAGAGATGCTTTAGCCAAACCCTTGTTGTTGGGATCAACACAGGGGAGACTGGCTGAAATTCTCCAACCTGGGCTATATAGGAGCTGATGTGCTCATCCCAAGGTCCCACTCTGACCTGTAACTCTCCAGTTCTCGTGGCCGTGGTTGCAAAAGGAGCTTCTCCTCTCGCTCTTGTCTTCCCAACCAGAAGAGTGTAGGGGGGGAAATGGCGGCGTCTAAACCAGGAAGAATTTGTCTAGTGAGACTTGATCACAAATGTATTGGTGGGCTGGGAAAAACCAGAGGATGTTTGGGTCTTGTGAGGAGGTTTTAAGATGAAAAATGAGCAAGTGTTTAATGCCTCTATTGGATTAAGAGCGTGTTCTGGATTGCTTCGAGGGAAAGCTCTTATTTAATTAGGCGCTTAATCACCTTTGGATTTGACAGGGAAAAGAGTTCATTGATCTCCATGCAGATAAAGCGCTGTGTCTGAAATGAAAAGTGAGGGAGCAGGGACTGAAAGCTCCTTCTAGGCTGGGCTGTGTGTCCCAGAGACAGCCCGGCTCCCAGTACTGAGCTGTGTTCCAAGCATTAGATAACTGGGTAGCTTAACCTGGAGGAGGAAGGACATGGATGAATGTTAGGAGTAAACTCTGGCTTCTGTATATGTTTACAATTTGTGTCTCTTGGTTCCCTAGGGTACTTGGCAGCGCAGGCCGCAGCCTCCCGCGGCCCTCTGCTCTATTCCGGAGCCCTTTCTGACGGGCAGTTCTATTCCCCTCCGGAGTCCTTTGCAGGTGACGAATGTTTTTGCCTCTTCTTGGCATGCAGTGACCTTTGTATGTGGGTTGAGTTGCTTTCTCAGCTCGTTCCGCTTGCAGGATCCCCTGGGTTTCCTTTTCCCTGTTATTGCCTCTCAAAGTTCCTCGCTGAGCTTTCCCTAATTAGACCGACCTTTTGAGCAGTGTTACAGCACAGTACCACGAACTCCCCTCTGCTTCCAGCGTTGGGGGCAGATTATGTTGTGTAGCTGCTTTTGTGCCCAGCTGTGGGATCAGAATGAGATTGTCAGGAGGTGGAAAAATAGCCACCTACTTTACATTTGATGCCTGACTTTCCTGTGCTATCAAAATCCATTCTCAGCTGTGTTTCAACCAAAGCTCCAGGCCTCAGGACACAGGGTTTGAAATGCACAGTCTGAGGTTGCTCTGGGAAGAGCAAAGGCCTTACCCTGGACACCCGAAAAGCTAGTGTGAACTGCACAGCTTGCTGCAGAAAAGGGTGTTAACCTGTGGCTTTGGTACATTTTCAGAGGGGACGGCACTGGGGCTGGGGGATTGGAGCATTTCCCATTGTAACCACTCTCGCTTTTCCTATATGAGAACACACCGACTATCCTGCATGGATCTGTGCATTTGGAGAGTGAAGTGGAAAGGGAGGGAGGGCTGACCCGATGAGGGCCCTCCCCTTCATAAAATCATACCAGCAGGATCTCTAGCTTCCTCACAACTCTGCAGGATCTCTAGCGTCCTCACAACTCTGTACCTTTCTTTAGGATCAGATAATGAGTCTGATGAAGATGATATGGGGAGGAAAGCGTTGACAGCCCAGGTAAATGGAGGAGCGGTGATCTTGCCATTTTAGAGACCCACTTTTGCCCCTGTTGGTTCTGAGCATCTCTCAATGTCTGGTTCTGATGGCTGCCCAATGCATGTTGACATGAGGGTCTGTAATTAGCTAATTACTCCAGCACATACCCATCAAGGTGCTGAATAAATCGAGGGGTTAAAGATCCTGTCCCCTTTCTTCTTCTCCTCTCAGAACCGAAGGTCACAAAATGTTATTTGCTGCCAAGAAACGTTGGCAAATCATTCCCTTAGCTGAGCGATGTTGCTCAGGTGCTCTGGGAAAAACAGGTCTGACTCAGTATCCAGTCACCCCTCATTACTGGGAATCATTCGTCTCGTGTGCAGCATCAGTTACTTTCCCCTTCACCCCCCTCCTGTAGTTAGCTTTTAAAGGCGTCTGTGGCCCTGACAGCAGCTTGTCTCCTTCCTGCTCCCTCCAGTTTCCTTGGTTCTTACTGGTTACCTTTGCTGAAGGAGGAAGGGGGTGTTGACTCCACTATCCTGTCAAATTCCAGCGTGGGTAACAGCCTTCTCCCTCCCTAACATCCCATCAGCGTTTCACTTGGACACAGGATTCTTCACGTTGTTTCCAAAACAGCGGGGTAGCTAAGCAGTTGCTGTTTCACCCCAGAGGTGGCTGCAGCTCCATGGGAGTAGAAGTGATCTCATTGTGGCTTGTACCATTTCATCTGGCAAAAATGGTGGGGACTCTCTCAGGAGGAAAGGTATCACAACTGTGGAGAGACACAGCTAGTGTGTCAATGACACACCTAGGGCTAGAATTCTGGCCTGCCAGGTGCAACACGCTTGCCTCTGCCACCCGAGTGGAAGGAGGATATCTGTAGCAGGTGCAGTAGTGGAAAGTCCCTTCCTCTTTTGTTCAGCCACGAGGAGGCAAAATCACTCATTCGCACGCTCAGGATCATTAGTAAAGGGAGCAGTAAATAGATCACGTTTTCTCCTAGGAGAAGGAATATGTCCAGCAAGGCAAAGAAGCAATGGAGGTTGTGGATCAAATCCTAGCCCAGGAGGAAAACTGGAAATTCGAAAAAAACAATGTAAGTATTTCCCTTCTTTGCCTGCAGAAAGCATGGAGGGGTTAGCAGACTGCAGAACGGTGGGGCTTTCCGAACCTGGTTACGCCATGAAAAATTAACAAGCGTTACAATGACATGATTGAATTAGGAATCTTATTCCAGTTCAGTTAAATGTAAATCGCCTCTTATTTAATTAGACGTTCAATTACCTTCCTGTTTGACAGGAGAGGGAACCCATCAGTCTTTCCCCCCACCACCCCAGCCACAGGCGGGCGGAGGAGTGTGGTTAGCCTTTAATTGCAGTTATGGTGTGGAACTGCAGATGACTGAGTGGGAAAGGATCAAAGACATTTGTTGGTAAAATAAGGGAGTGAGTGGTGCCATCTTGAAAACCACCATACCCAGCATTAAGGGAGCTGTCACATGCAATAGACTCCTCCCCTTTGCTACGCATCCAGCTACAGATTCATCCCATTTCTGTGTCTTGTCACGTGTATGCCACAGCGTGTTGCATTCTGTCTGCAGCCATCTGTACATGTGGATTTTTGGAAGCGTGTTAAAATTCAGCTGGAGACAGTCTTCACTTCCTGTCCTAAACTTGCTGCGGACTGTTGATCTGTACTTTTAAAAGGTCCTGCCATGGAGGGGGTTGCGTTTCAGGGCTGACTCTAGCCATGGCAGTGGGTCTGCCCGTTGTGCAGCTTGGCTCGTGACACAAGTCTCAAATGTGCTTGGAGATCCTGGGGTGCAAGGTGCGACCGGCGTGTAAAGGATTGTGCATGTGAAGTGTGACTTGACTCTCTCTTGCGCAGGAGTTTGGCGATGTTGTTTACACCATTGAAATTCCTTTCCATGGCAAGACCTTTATTTTAAAGGTAAGGACTTCTGGCCTCTACCTCCTTGCTTGGTAAATTGCAGCTTTGTTGTAGGGGCATAATCCCCAGGCAGTAACTCTGCTTAATGCCCAGCACAGCTGGTCCCTCATGCTCTTCTGTGGCTCCAGAAATACGGGTCAAACTGCAAAGCCCGTTCTACTTGTTGGTGGGACTTTCAGTAACACAACTCTGCTGCATGCTTACACTGAGCTCTGTTCTACAGCCTGGATAACGCCCGGGCTTGCCATCTAAAACTAGATTGATCCAACCCCCCACAAATACGCTGGGGTCCAATGGCAGAAAGCTGGACCAGGTGACGAAAGAATCCTGTTCCAACCGCAGCTTCCAGAACTACAATAAGATAGCAACTGCCCGTCCACCAAGATCAGGGGTGATCCCACTTCAGATGCAATCTGGCATTAACAGATGTTGTTAGGAAGTGACTCACTGTAGTGGTTTGGCTATAAACAATCTCTTAGTGAAGGCCTATTGCCGTGGTGACTTTTCTTTGTGTCGGTACATATGTTGCCAGAACTGCCCATGAAAAGACTCTAATGAACGGAGATCTGGGTGACCCCATGTTACTGCATTATCCCTCTGCCTCTAAAGACCCACACGAGACTGCAGATGAAGGCGAGTGTTTCATTTTTGCTGACGCTCTTAGTAGCCTTCCATGAACCTCCTGAAACAGCTGCCTGCTTCAGTATAAGTGGTAGACGCCAGAGTAGCCCAGGGGTGGAATAGCTGGCATTGCTCTGTTCAGGATGGAGGTACGCTATTCCTGTCTGCACTGTCTGGCTCCAGCCAGTTCTTCTGCTATCGCTTCTCATGAGCACTTGTTTCACTCAATTGGTTGTCCCTTGTGATCTTTATCTTGTGATGTTGAATACACGCTCCAGGGAAGGCAGCTGGGGCAAACTGAACTGTCTAGTCCTTTTCTCAGGCCTTCATGCAGTGTTCTGCTGAAACAGTCTACCAGGAGGTGATTCTCCAACCTGAGAGGATGATCCTGTGGAATAAAACAGTGGCAGCTTGCCAGGTAAGTGCTTTGTGAAGGTGGCATTTTAATAACCCTCTGGAGTTGGAACTTCGCAGCACAGAACCTACTGCATGCCGTGCCTGGCCCTGCAGGAGCTGGAGGCATGGCTGCATTTGAATACCGATACATTGCTCATCCAGGCGGTCTGAACATTCTGAAGTAGCTAGTTGCACCAAAAGCCTGTCTGTACGAAAGCCCCAGGGAGGCACAGAGCCAAGGTCATTCTCGCTGCCCTGGCTTGGAGGAGCTTACTCACCCTAGGCAGTTGCTGTGTCCAGGATGCGAAGGAAATGCCTGCTCGTTATACAGAAGGGCAGAGCAGACCATTCTCAACACCAGAAGGTGAACGTGGTCATGCTAATGCTGAACTCTCCAAGGCTTGTATTTGTCAGATCTGCCGCTAAAGGCTCTTCACTTGTTTTGGATCCATGGGCAATTTTGAGGGAGGCTCCTTATTCCTAGCTGTTGGCATGTACAGATCCACAGGCAGGTGAGAGGAAACATCTCTTATTCTGTCCTCCTTTCACTCAGATCTTACAGCGGGTTGAAGATAACACCATTGTCTCGTACGACATTGCAGCAGGGGCTGCAGGTGGTGTAGTGTCACCCAGGTGAGTTTATTCCGCTCCGGAGCCTAGTCCACCAAGCACCTAGAACACATCAAGGAGATTTTGTGTGAAGGAGCTCCAGGCCAGCCATCTTACTCATGAAACATACCATGGGTCCAAGAGGGCATTTCTACCTGCCCTATGGGTGGGTAACATAGTGTAGTATGTAGTGTAATGACTTGCCCAAGGTCCTATGCCAAAATCGATAGCCAAGCCAGGATGAGAACCAGGAGTCTTGGCTCCAAGCCTCTGTGTGAGTCACTGAATACCTGGTCTGTCCCGTTAATAACCATAAATGTACATAGTGTCTCCATGTTAAAATATTTTTGCCACACCTTTTCCATAGGAGTAGATTGAATGTTGGACCTTCCATGTCTGTGCTGTCCTAAAGCTCCCATGCAGACCCCACAGCAGTTGATTTCCCCTTTATTTATGTAGGGACTTTGTAAACGTGCGTCGCATTGAAAGAAGACGAGACCGCTATATTTCCTCAGGGATGTCAACCACTCACGGTTTGAAGCCTCCGCTGTCCAAATACGTCAGGTACGAATTTGGGTTTTGGCTTGGGGAAATGTCTGATTTTTCTTGTAGCACACACTGCTGTATAATATTAGACGTTCAGTGCACACAGACGCTTGAGTTTAAAAAAGGGTGGGGGGGCGTTTCTTGTCGCTGTTTAAAGGAAACTGCCACTTTACAAAACCTCTGGCAGCCTGTCTGTCTGCAGAACTGTATTCTACTTCCTGTGTTCCTCTTCCTTTGTTTAAAGAACAATTGGTATGGAATCATCATGTTGCTTAGGAGGTCAGCAGCAGCTCGGGTTGAGGCAGTGGGGGCAGGGTAGGGGGGGACAACAGATCAAAAACCCTGACCGACTCCACATCCCATCACTGTGGAATTAGCTCTCGCATGGGGACAGTTGCAGCTTCAAAGGGGGAATAAGCAGCTGAACTCATCATGTGTGTTGTTTGTTATGTGTGTGCCCTTTTGTTCTCTCATGCCTGGCCGTAGTTTTAATAAAGGCCTAGGGCACAGAGAGACGGAGCAGGAGGTGTGAACAGAGAGCCCTTCAATACGGAGCCTCTCTCAAAGCACTGGCCAAGGTCTCTGGCATTTCTCTACTCCAAACTACAGTGGCCGGCTGCCTTGTGATGCATTAATCGGGGTCTGAATCTCTTCCAACAAGGCCTCTTTGTTACAGTCAGGCTGTGCCGCAGGTGGCTAGTGACCAGCTCAGCTGCTTCTCTTACTGACTTTGTTTTTCAGAGTAATCTGATTAAAGTAATTGACATTTAACTCACAGGCTCAGTAACTGCCTCAGTCTATTTAGGTGCTGGGGCTTTTCAGGCCTTGAGAATCCTTTTAAGGCCATATCCAGCAGAAATATACGTAGTGTCGCAAAGCAGGAACGTGGTAACACGTGTCTCCTTTTAAACATATCTGGATGGATGGGGCCTTTCGCCTCTTAGTCACAAATCTGGCATGTATCAGTAGGGATCTGTTGGTATCTGCCCCTGCTAAGCAGACCCAGAGGCGTGAAGAGGAAGCTGCCCATGCAGTACCTGCCCTGACCATAAAGGGTTTCATTCGCCACAGCTCTCTTTTCACCAGCACCAGCATTTAACTGGGTTTGGCTTTCAATATCCAGCAAAGGTAGCGCTGGTGAGACGGGCCCCACCAGCAGTCTCCGGAGCAGTGGTTCTCAACCTGCAGCTGTGGCCCATGGGACATCCTCACTGCCATCCAGTGGAGACCTGCATGTGGGGCCCACAATGATAAACAGGTTGAGAACCACTGCTCTGGAGGCTGAAGGCGCCCCCAGCCGGTATAGAGAGGAGCCTGCTCGGCCCATCCATGTCTGTGTCTCTGCTGTTGCCAGTGGAGGTAGCAGGGCATGTTGTGATGTGGAAATGCCTACTACCCCCCCTCCCCCCGCCACCCCCAGTCCCTTCACGCAGGCCACTGGACCTCGCTTAACTCTTCCAGTGGGAAATAAAAGCTGAAGGTGCGGCATGAGCGGGAATCTCCACATGGCAGCTGAAGATGCGGCGTTCTCTCTGGCAGCAGAGCTAGCGAGCTCCTGCCCGGTTTGTTTCCCGGTTAGGTTTGCCCAAGGCCTGCTCCAGCTGTGACCTCCTGCCTCTCGGCGCACCCAAGCGCAGTGACGGATCATTCGAACGTGCTGCTGGCTTTGTGCTGCATGGGCGCATTCGGGATCCCGGCTGCCTGCCTGTGTATCTGCCCAGTAGCGTACGTGTATGTGACATGAAGTCTGCAGAGCCTCATGCTGTGCTGTTCCTTTTCCCAGGGGCGAGAACGGGCCAGGAGGCTTCATTGTACTGAAATGTGCCAGCAATCCCAAAGTGTGCACCTTCCTCTGGATCCTCAACACGGACCTCAAGGTAAAGTGGGTTCCACGTCGGCATGTGCCTCGCATCCAGCACAGCCGGGGCTCCCCAGAGCACAAGCTGGAGAATCTGGCTCGCGGCTCTGCCAGTATTCGCAAGCAGTGAGATCTTGTCTTGCCGTCCCAAAGCTTGCCCACCCTTGTGTCCGTTGCTGCCAATAACCTGTAATAGAAACCGCCTCCCCTCGCAGGGAGCAAGGCACCTTGAACACGTCGAGTGACTCCGAGCTGGAGTTATTGGCTACACTGCTGTGTTTGGTCCCTGCTGTCTGCTCGGGCAAGGGCAGCATACAAAAGAGCTGCCAGCCGGGGTCAGGTGCCAGGGGCTGGTGGGAGGTGAGAAGAGACCCGGCCTGCTGAGCACTCACATTGTTGACGGGGTAACCCTCTGCTGCAGCGGGGAAGCACAAAGTCCTCATTCATCGGAGCGCTTGGCCTGCGCCATCTCCCCCCGCCCCCTCCAAGAGAAGTCGGTCGGCTATTCTGTTGCTCATCACATGATTGAAAAGCACTTCCAAAATCAACCGTCCTGCTAGGGAATCAAACTGGGGGATAGAGCTGAGAGCAGCAGAAACCAGCTGCGCCTCTCACTCGGGCTGTTGGGCCCAGAGCTTTGTGTCTGGGTCTCCTTTATGGGAACTGGCTCTGAAGAAATCAGCTGTTTGCAATGGGGAGTGAAAACCTGCCTAGTTCTGTGAGACAGGCCCTCACCCACTGCTCTCTGCTGCCTGTGAGGAAGAAACTTCTGTAGCAGCCAAGCTATTCATAATTGTCCATTATACAGCTCTCACCTAACCCCGAGGCATCTGGGGCTAGCCACTGTCTGAGACGGCTACCGAGCTAGGTGGACCCACTGCTCCAGCCCTCCTGGCATATCCTGTGTCCCTGAAGAAATGCCCGTAAAGAACGGCCTTTAGTGTTGTTCTTTTTGACCAACATCTAATGCAACAGGGTCCTGGTCAATGACAGGCTACCGGGGTGGTACGGCAGTGCAAATATTTCATAGTACCCTGCAGAACAGCCGCCCACCAAACACCCTCTCAGCCCCTTCCATGCAGTCCCCATGGGGAGAGGCTGGCAAAATCGGCCTTGCCGCATGCCCTCAAAGTTACAAGAGCTGGGCCTTGGTGGTGAATTATTACTACTATTACCGTGGTGAATTATTACTACTATTGATGATCTGTTTTGCAGTAGCGTCTAGGAGCCACGGTCACGGACCAGCACCCCACTGCACAAGGCATTGCACAAACACAGGAGACAGGCTGCCCCGCCTCCCCTTCCACCCACAGCCCCCTGCCATTGGGCGAGGACTGGCTTGAATGCCACTGCCGATGGCTACTGCAGCAGTATGGCACAGGGCAGCTGAGGACCCAAACCATGCGGGGTTTTTTATGGACATCAAAACACTTGAAGTTACACCCAAAAGCAGCTCAAAGCAGTTGGGAGCTGTCACTGCTCTTTGCTGTGATTCTCGCCAATCCGCCAGACAGGGCCCGTCCTGTTACCGCACTGATGCAGTTGTTTAAAAAAAGCTCTGAGATGCTCTGGTTAATACTCAGTGAAACCCATCTCGAGCAGCCACAGAGACCTGTGCTGGAAACATGGTGGTGGCTTCAAGCGGGACAAAACGAGCAGTGCCTCCGAGAGACGATCCGGAGCGCAGCTTTCCCCAGGATTCAGATGCAGGATAGGAACTATGTACAATCTTAGCCAGCAAAATAAACCCCTGTGTTCCCGGTTTGTTGTTTCTCTGTAGGGTCGGCTTCCCCGTTACCTGATCCATCAAAGCCTGGCAGCTACCATGTTCGAGTTTGCATTCCACCTGCGGCAGCGGGTCAGCGAGGTGTCGGGCAGGCCTTGAGCAGCAGCTCATGACCCTCCACGGGACATCCCTTTGCCCTCTCTCCTTAACACAGAGTGGGGAACAACTTCCAAGAAGCCGGAGCGAGCCTGCCGCGGAGCTGCCTGCGCTTGGAATGCAGACCTCTTCCCTCCCCGCAGGGAGGGCTGCACCAGACCATGTACCAGGGAGGTGGCTATCACTGCAACAATGCTAACTGGAGCAACCTTTGCAGGAATGCAGAAAGGGGGGTGGATGCCTTGAGAGGCCCGAGGGATGCCTCGGTCCCTCCCCACTCCCGCAGATCCCTTTCTCTTCACCCCTCCAATCAAGGATCAAACTAACTGAGCAGCTCTGGGAATCAGTGGAGACTTTTGTGATTTAAACGTGTGCCAAACCCCTTTATTGATCACTTTGTTTTCCCTCGCCATACCCAGCGGAGGTGGCAGTTTCTGGCTGGATAATCCCACCACTGCCCCAATATGTCTCCTGTCCTTTTTTAAAAAATTTCTGATAATGGTGTATGACTTTCATTGGTCTGGAGCTCCTGTATTTACCTAAATGCCTTGTGGAGGAGAGGGAAGGGCAGGGCCAGGCATCCCTATTCATTTTGCTGCTGGAGAATGGTTAAAGTGGGAAATGGAGGAACTCTCGGCACCAGGTGCATGTGACAGCCTCTGCTTCTGATCTGCTGACAGTCATTGCTTTACATGGCATGACTGGTAGCTCACACCCTGTGGGCACTTGGCTACCCCTTGTCATTCCTCAGCTGCCAGGGAGCACACTGATAAAGGTGTTGCCAGGCAGTGGCGGATTAGTTTAGGCACGTGTGGTCCACAAAAGGCTGTGAAATATACCCAGGGCAGAGTCTCTGCAAGTCTAGAATAGCTCTGCAGCCCCAGCTGTGGGCATATCTGGATCTCTGATGTGACTGGGCCCAGGGAAGGGCACCCTGGTAAAAAAAACTATTCAAATAACCACTTCCCCATTTCTTAGTTGGCTCCAGCTCGCGAAGATCTTTCCCTGTTGAGAATTCGTGTCCACCACAAGCTCTGGCGAAGGGCCTCCAACCAGTGGAGCCTTGCCAGGCTTGTTCCATTGCCATAGTTCGCTGACGTAGCAGCCGTGGCGTCTGTGGGTGGGATGCTGGGGAGGAAACGGTTTTAAACTCGGAGAAGGATTGCCTGATTCTAGGAAACCTTTCAGTCCGGGAACGAGCGACCTTGGCAAGTCCCTTTTGGCTGCGTAGGGCAGTCAAAGGAAGGCGATGGCTACTGGCCTCTGAGGCTGTGACCCCATTTTCATAACGAAGTGAAGTAGTCCCCTGCTCTGGGGATAGACTAATACTTGTGAGGGGGGATGATACAGCCTTGGGGGGGTGGGGGGGTAAAGAAGAAATACTAACCTCTGCTTGTTCACTAGTTTCGGCGGGGCCTGTAAAAATCAATCTCCATCCTGTTCGTTCAGCTTCTTTAAATCTGAAAACACCGTTAACTCGCTCCCCTAACCCCGATTCCCCCGCGCCACGCACGCCAGGACGTGAGGCTTTTGAGCGATCGCCTCGACATGAAGCATCTTTTGGGGACCTTGTGCACCCCCGCCCCGGAGACTGTGCAGCGAGTTCCAGGGGGTTTGTGGTTCTTCCACGGTGGGGTGGGGGCTCCTCTTGAGCCTGGTTAGAAAGCCTGTCGCTCTAATAACCTGCTGCCTTCCGCCTGGAACCTTTGTACCTTCGTCAAATAAAAACCTACAACAGAGAAGAGCCTCTGACCTGTGTCGCCCAACGTTACACTGCGCCCCACTGTCTTGTCATTTAGGCCTCTGTAAAGCCACCTAACTTGTAAGCTGCTGTAGCCCAGTGGGCATACTTGCATAAGCATGTGCTTACGTGCTTTCCTGGAGCAGGGCCGTACGGCCTGGGGGTGCCTGGAAGAGGTTTATTGGCCAGCTAGAAAGCAGCCCTGGTGCACTGCGAGAATGACAAGAAACAAGTTGCAAGTGCTTAGATCTGCAGTAACATGAAGCACGACCGTGAGAGGCAATGGGGCTGCCCTTGCGCCTCGGGTTCGTAGGGTTGGTTCCCTGCTTCAGGCAGTATGGTTCAGTGGCTAGCGCAGAGAGAATCCAGCGTTCTGTGCCCAGCTCTGCTGTGTGATCTTGGGCAAATCAGTGTCTTCCCCTGGGCCTGGTTTCCCCACTTCTAACCCTTTCCCCATCCTTTGGTTCTGAGTCTGAACACCCGGGAGATAAGAGGGCTCCCATGCACCTTGGCTTGCATCTTGGCAGCTTCTGTCATTGGAGTGCTGGAGATGATGGATCAAATTCGCCCCTGCTTTTTCCAAAAGAGTCCATCTCGGTGGGATCACTGAAGGCTCTGGAACTGCCCCTCTGCGTTTGGCCCATTGGTTCCTGCTCTTTTAAATGAAGCAAAGAACTAAGAAGCCCTAAGCCTGTGAAACAAACCCGACAGCAACTCGGTGAAGAAGCCAGTTCAACCGCACACAGCAGCGAATCTCTCTTGGGGCTGCGTGAACCCCTGCCCTCGCTGTGGCTGGACTGACGCTCCGGGACTTTTCTGCCTGCCTCCCACGCCTGGCTGGTGTTGACAGAGGCAAAAGGCAGCTTGCAAATAGCCGTCCCCTAAAGGGTTGAAGCCCTGCTGTGGGGGGAGCAGCAGCGTCCGACCTTTCCCAGGGCCAGCCCTTTTAATCATATAGTAAAACACAGAGCCTGTGTAAGCGGGGGAAATGGTCCCGCTATTGTGGGGAACTTTGCTGGCTTATACACATCCCGGTGAAGTGGGCTACCGAAAGGATCTCGCTCCCACTCCCTTTACCCAGACGCCTGCCTGACCTCGGGGGCTCCCCTTCCACTCTCCTGTGTGCCAGAGTCCTCGTAACTCCAACAAGGCTGGGCCCAGGATTCCTGGGGGTCTCGACCCCCAACTGTGTCGTGGTCACTTAGAACAGGGGCTAGGGTGTACCCACTCCTGGGTGCTCTCTCTGCACTGGGCACTTCCCTGACCCACTGATCATTACATACAGTTCAAAGCAAAAACAATTTATTAAACAGCAACCAAATTTTTAAAAAAAGGAAGTAATGGGAAAGATTCAAGGAAACCCGTCACCCCGCTCTGTGGCCCGGGGACGTCCCAACCAGTGTCTCGGGAAGGTCAGTGTGTCCCTCCCATGGCCCAGGCCCTGGCTGCGCCACAGGGAGGCTGCGGGTCGGACACTCGCTCTGGTGGTGGCCACGCGCTCTCGGGCTCTAAGTGGCAGGACCCTTCTTCCCAGCGTTGCCCCCATCCCGTCGGGGTTACGATCCCCTCCAAGTCTGGCCTGCCAGGTGTCTTGGCTGGGGCGTCTCCCTGCACTGGGCCGGCTGCCCAGGGTCCCCCGCTCGCTTTCCCCAGCTCCTCCCCGCGCCCGGCTCCGGACGGCTCCAGCCCCCTGGGCTGCTTCTCTGTCCGGCGCAGCCCTGCTCCCGCACTCAGCTCGGGCCCCTGCTCTCTCCTTAGCTCTGCCCCGCTCTGTCTGAGTCTGACCCAGGCCATTCCAGCTCCCCCAGAGGACGGGACCCCCGACCTCCTGACTCCCTCATTAGCCCACCCTGTGATTGAGGCTGACCTGGAGCACTGACCTCTCCCCATTGCTCCTGGCGCCTCTCAGTCTCAGGGTCCTGATTTCCCATCGACCCTTCCCCTTTCGGTACTAGGAGCTAGCAACCAAAACATCCCCACTGAGTCGTAGTAAGGGCACACCAGCCCACTTACGCCTGCACTGTCCCTGCCGGCTGGGAAGGCCCAGCCAGCCGGGCCCTGGCTTACCAACGGGCCTTCAAAGCAGGGCTGACAGCCAAGTGCAAGTCCCACCTACTGCAAATGGGGCCCCACCCTCCCCCTGTCGACATAGGGGTAACTCCGGGGCCAGGGAAAGGCAACGGCCCACCAGTCTAGTGCACCCTGCAGTTCTCTGTCCCCTTGTGTCCCGCTGGAAGGCGGAGTAAAAGGCACATGCCTCCAGCAGGATTCTGATCACCTGGCCCAGGCGCCCTCCGGCTGGGAGCGGGGCCCAGTTGCATCTAGGCAGGGGAAAGTTGCACTGTGCTTTGCTCGGGTGGGTAGAGGAGGTGCAAGGAATTCTTCCACACCCTGGCAGGCACCCAGCTTCCACAGGCCTCAGCATCCCTTTTTGCCCCGGTGTGTGTCGCCAGCGGGGGTGGGGGGAATGAAGGCCGCTAACAGAGCCGTTAGCGTGACATGCCGGCACGGTGCACCTTCTTCGCTCCTTGCTGTGCTCAGCCGTGAATGCGAGGGGAGCGCTGGAGATGGGGGGTTAACGTGACCGTCCCGGTGTGCGGAGAACTCCGTGTGTCACCCGCACACGCTCATTCATGCCCACGGGCTTCCACCCCGCATGGAGAAGGGGGATTTCTCCAGGAGTAGGTCGGTTTCCGTGGCCCAGACAGTCCTTGCTCTCTGCTGAGCCTGACTGTACTGCCCGGCTGGTAAGCACGGTGTGACCCGTCTGCTAAAGCAACCCCTTTCCCACTGCATCTGAGCAGCTCCCCCCAAGAGGTACTAGGAGAGGGGACATCCCTGGCTTGCGCCCGAATCCCCCAGCCTTCCAGGACCTGGTCATCATGTTCCTGGGCTGGGCCTGGTGTGTATTTACAGCCATTACAGACCACGGGTTTGCTTTCTGCTAGGAAGGAAACAAACCGGCTTTCATTGCCCAGTAACCCCAAGCGATGCAGAGAAGAGCCTCTTTTTTAGCAAGGCTGCGTCCCCCTTGCTTAAGGCTGTGAGCCCTGGTGAGGGGGGATCTCACATGATCAGGGCTTTTGACTTGCATTTTTCTTAAATTTAGAACACACTGAACTTCTCACTCACTCTCCTTCAGAGCCGTTTCTTCGCAGGAGAAGTGTTTGCGGCCCCTTGATGAGACCTCTGCTGCTCCTCTGGGTTTGAGTCATACACGCATTAGGAGAATGGATGTTTGGCACCAGATCTGCTGCTGCTCCTGTGAACAAGAAGAGCCAGAGAACAATCCGCTCCTCAGGTATTTATTAATATCAGTAGGGTAGTCAGATTGGAGTCCCGGTGGGCTGGGCGCTGCACGGAGTGAGAGGCAGTCGCTTCTCTGAAGAACTGGATGCAAAAGAGAGCATTATTTGCCTCATTTTAAAGTTGGGGAAACTGAGGCACGGAGCAAGACCGCGACACGCGGTATGTGTGGCTGAGCTCTGAGTCCCGGTTCAGTGCTTTAAACCGCGTCCGTCCTTCCCTTCTGTTCGACATCATAGTGAATTCAGCGTTTGCGTCCGGTGCTATGGTAGCAGCCCTGAGAAGCGTAAGGTGTTCTCTCCCGCATGCCTGTCTGAAGCTGCTTGGCACGGCATCCCCGCATGCTGGTCAGCGGCCGCCATGTTCCGCAGCGGGGCCAGCTCCATTTCTGTGCCAGGATCCCGGCCCCGAGCGTGTGTCGGAGGAACTCGGAGCCCCGGGAGAAGCAAGACGTGGCAGCCATGCAGGCGTTCATACAAGGATGGAGAAAGACGTGCTCACGGCTGCAGGGCAGACGCCTCTGAACCCCGCTTCCCAATCACCTTTGCTCCTCTTTCCTCTACAATGACGGGGGCTGCTTTGGTGGGGGGCTGATGGGGACAGAGCGGGGCTATCCAGCCAGGCTCCGCTGGGATCGGGATTTGCAGAGGGAACGTTTCCACTGCTGCCAGCACTGAGCGGGATCTCCCTCCCCTGTCAATGTCCACAGAGCCCCCAGGCGCATCCCCCACAAAGATCTAAAGGGCATTTCAGGCCCCCCCCCTTTTTTCTTTTTTTAAAAACACCCGGCACCTGGGTCAGGAAGCCTCGGTTTGAACCTGCCCTGCTGCCAATTTTGGTACCCACCTCCCCCCACTCACCCCTTGCCAGCGCCTGCGAGATTCCTGCTGGCTCGACTGCCTCTTCCAGGTGGGGGTATGAGCTCCCTGCCTCCTTCCTGGTTACCCCCCAGGACCCTGCATTCTCCACCAGGCCACATGAGTGTGTGTGAGGTTTGGGGGGGTCCCCTTCCCCTTGAGCCACTGGCTCTGGGCTGCCACTGAAGCAGGGTATTGGATGAGCCATTGTTACAACCTGCTTAGCGCCTGCCCGGCTTCCCTCACCCCCAGTCTTGCAGCCAGGGGCTTGGAAGGGAGGGGTCCATGGGGAAAGCTGCCCCACTGCCCAGTAAAGTGGCCCCCTTTGCATGCCAGCGTCTGGCCGAGCCAGCTGGTGCTGCCTAAGGCCTGGGCGCCAGGCTGGGTGCATGCCATGCGCTGTCTCGCCCGGGGCCGCTCTCCTCTCGTTGCAGTGAGATGCTCCGGTACTTCGATCAGCTGGGGAAGCGCAAACGGGCCCAGGCCACCAACCTGTGGAACGAGCCGGTGGACGACACCCACATGGAGCGCGACGACGACCGCGAACTCTACAACCTGCTGCAGAACCGGGCCAGGCTGCGCCGCGGCTCGGAGGTCGGTGCCCCCGGCCCCTGCTGCCCCTAGGACTCCCTAAGGGCCCCTCTGAGCACGCCTACCCGCAGGGAACTTTCTTCTTCCCTGGGGCTGGAGACGTGTAGGGCTCTGAATGGGGCCCCAGGAGGCCTGGGCTATGCCTGGCTCTGCCACTGACTGGTGCTGTGACCTTTGGCAAGTCCTTGTCCCGTCTGCCTCAGTTTCTCCTCCCCGCCTGTCTGCTTAACCTGGGAGCTCTTCAGGGCTGTGGCTGGCAGTGTTTGGGCAGCGCCCAACAGAACAGGGCCCTGCTCTCACTTAGCTCCTCTGGGTGCTACTGGACCATAACTCCCTTACAGGAAGGGGGTGAGTGAGTGGCCGTGTCAGACCAATGGGAGTGCCCAGCTCGGCTGGGTGGGATCTCACCCCAGCTGGCACATCTACCAGGCACTGAAGTGCTCTAGGCTGCTCTGATGCTGGGATCTCAGAGCCTTCACAACAGATCTGCACTGTATCCATGGGGAAACTGAGGCACAGTGAGGCTGGTACTTGGCCACAGTCACATAGTGGAGTAAGGGCTGTAATTAGAATCCAGGCCAGCTGCCTCCCAGCCCCTGCTCTTCTAAACCACTGGCCCCCACTCCCTTCCCAGAGCCAGGAATAGAACCCAGGAGTCCTGGCTCCTGGTCCGCCCCCTGCTGCCCAAAGCAGCACTGTCCTGTGAAACTCCCAGTCAGTGTCCAAGGCCGGGCTGGGACCGTGGCTGTGGACCGATCAGTGGTGCTGGTGCACGGCAGCCATGAGGGGAGAGGGGGAGAGCTGGTGCCTTGTGGTTTCCGGGGCCTGACCCCCAGTCCCTCCCCCGCAGGGCTACCGACGCCTGAGCTTCGACATCAGCGCCCACCGCCAAATCCGCCACAAGTTGAAGGACCGCTGGAGGCAGATCCTAGAGGTCCTGGGTACGGCATCCCCTTCCCTGCTGGCGGAGAGGGGCGGGGGGGCTGGGCTGAGCCCTCTCGCCGGGAGGCAGTGCAGCTGAGGGGCTTGTTCAGTGGGACGCGGAGCCCAGCACGCACCGTCGGACCCAGAGAGCAGGACTCACCCTGCCTCTCCTGAGCGCCGGAGCCTCACCCCCGTGGGGGGAGTGTTAATGAGCCCAGGGCGATGGGCTGGTGCCAGGGCAATGCCTGGTCTGAGGGGCTGGCGTCTTCTGCCCTGGGGCTGGAGGGAGTAACTCCTCTAGCGCCTGGTAGCAGTAGTAGGTTCTTATCCCCTCGCAGAGAGGCCCCGCATAGCTCTAGCGAGGGCGAGCGTGGGCTCACAGGCTTCTCTCCTCCCATCCCTGGGCAGGGTTCAGCGGCGAGGCCCACGGCTTGCTCGACATCACCTCCGCGGCCTCCTACAGCTCCCTGAGCCAGCCCCTGCAGGCCCGCCAGCTCCTCGCCGCCCTGGCCGACCAGACCAGCCTCTTCGACCGCCACTGCAGCCTCCCCGAGCGCTACCTCTTCGTCCTGGTGTGTGGGGCGGGGGGGGGGGGCAGTTGGCAGGGGTCCCCTTCTCCCCCGTGTCTGCAATCCCTCCGTGAGGGATGATGGGTAATTGCTGCTCCCCCCACAGGGGGAGGTGGGTCCCTCCCTCTGGTCATAGCCCCTTGCTTGCCCCTGACCTTGTGCCCCTCCCCATCCCAGCCTGGCTGTGTCTCTCCCTCCCCAGGACCGGCTGCTCGTCCTGGACGCGGGCGATGACTTCCTCTCCGCTGCCCGGCACTACTACCCCCCGGAGGCCGAGGAGGGGCCCTCCAGCGAGGAGGAGCCCCCCCAGCCCCGAGGCCACGCTGGTGACGCTGAGCCCGGCGCCCCAAGGCGGGGAGGAAGAGGAGGAGGAGGAGGAGGCCACAGTGATGGATGAAGTGTCCCTGTTGGTCAAGTTGATAGAGTGAGGCCTGCCCTCAGGGCAGCCGGGCTGCTGACTCTGGGCTGAGAGCTGCCTATTTGTTTATTTCAGCCACCTGTTTTGTGTGTGTGTACACGTACAGTGCCTAGCATGGGAGGGAGGGGGCCTGAAACTGTGTGTTGTGGGGGAATATGTACAGTGCCTGGCACGGGAGGGAGGGGCCTGATCCCTGACGAGTGCCTCTGGCCCTTACCCCGACCATGACTAACGACTCGCTAGAGCCTGCCTGCCGGGGATGAAGACGGGGCCGTTCCCCTTCCCCTGCAGCCCAGCACGTGGCCGCAGAGGGGCAGCTGGGGCTGGCGTTGCTGCTGTAGGCTTGGATCATGTGTCACCCCCAAGCTGGGGGATTTAGGAGGCGTCTATCTTTGTGCTAGTTCAAAGCATCCCCCCCCCCCCCCTGCCCTTTGGCTTTGGCAGCGGGCCCCGTGAAGCAGTTAACAAGTCTCTGGTTATGTTGTTTACCCGACCCCTGGCTGTCCATCATCCCCCCGCTTTGCGGCCCGTGCGCCCAGATGAGGCTGCAAAAGAGAGGCGGGTGCTCCCTGCAGCTTTGCCTGGGGAGTCAGCAAGGGGGGCACCAGGCCCGAGGAGGGGTGGGGAAGAGGAGTAGGGCCAGATTGCCTTTGAGGGCTCGTCTAGTTCAGCGGCAGGGAGGGGAGTGGGCGCTGGCGGCCAGCTGGCTAGTCCAAAGGGCAAGCACGTGGCGTCCCCAGGCTGGCGAAAGGTCAGCTGCGCTCTATGCACCAGGCTGGGATTAGCGGCCGCCTCACAGGGCCGGGTTCCAGCCTCCGGGGCGCTAAGGGACAGGGGGAGCTTTGCTGCCTGGCAGGGCATCTGTGGCATCAAGAGGAGACAAGCAAGGCAGAGGCCGGGGTCAGGACAGGCCATCTCCCCCTCGGCAAAGGGGTCTCCCTGATCTTAGGTGTAGTGGTGTGACTGCTGCCCCGACCCCAGTGCTCCTGCCCCCCTCCCCACCTGACGTGACTCTGTGCGACCGGGCCAAGCTGCCCCAGCTTTGCCTGGCGCTACACCCCCCTGCGTAGCCTGGGGGGGGGGGGAATGGGTATTACAGGCAGAAGGGGCTCTTACAACCCCTTGACTGGGCACAGGGATTACAGCTCCAGCTTCCGGAGTCATGGGCTGAGAGTTTGGCTTTAAAAAAAAAAAAAAAAGAAAAGAAAACCTATTGCTAGTCCTCAAGGATGCAAAGAAAAGTTTGAAAATGTGACCCTGGAGTGTGGGCGGGGGGGGGGGAATATCCCCTCTGCCTGCCTGAGTCTGCAGAGAGCCTAAAACAACAGCTCCAAGAGAGGTGAAATTGGCCCATTCATCTTAACGCTGACAGCTGCCGTCACCCCCTGGAGATGGGACTGTGGGGCACAAGGTGGGTTAAGTCTGGTGCCCCAATATTGCCTGGGTTCGGCTATGGTGGCGGTTGAGGTGTCAGTACGGACAGCCGTGGCCCCTGGGCTGTGGGGGGGGGGTGGATGGGGCTGGGGCTAGTGCTCTGGGGTAGCCCTTAGCCAGCAGGAATGGCAGCCATGGGGCTATCTGTGCCCCTAGAGCATGAGCCATTGGTGTGTCAGCTGACACCCCTGGGCTGGAGGCTGGGAAAGGGATTTCTCTGCACAAAGCCATCAAGGTCCTGCTTTCCAGGCGCTGACAGGCTGCTTAATCACATCGGGGGGAGAGGGGTGCGTAGCTGAGATCCACCCCTTGCCATCAAACGTGAGAGGAGGCGGGACTTTGTGAGGGCCCAGCAGGAATGGGGCAGCCAGCGTTACCAGGCCTTCCGGCAGGGCACGGGGATCTTCTGTTCTGGGAGTGGGAAAACCAGCCGGTGGCTTCTGCTGCCCCAGTCAGAGCAGATTCTGTAAGCAAACCGGCAACACCTGCTCTGCCCTGCCCCCCCCTTTCCCGTACTGCCCCCCAGCATGGACAGCCCCTGCGCCCCCCTGCACTGGGGTAGCTGTTTGAGCCCAAAGTGCCACGATTCAGCTGTGATCTGCGAGGGGAGGATTGAAACCCACCCCCCCACACACACACACACACTAATCACATCGGCCTCTATGTTGGTCGGGGTCAGGAACGCGACTGGGCACGGGGCAGAGCACACAGCGGCTAATCTATCCCCCAGGGCATTGCCGCGCTGTTTCGGGCCGCACCGGGGCCAGCTGCTCCCAGGGTCAGGTGCGGTTGTTAACTGAGGGTCGGGCATTCCTAGCTAATCCCAGCAGTTCTGCTGGCCCCTCCCCAGGGCAGCCGAGTGTCAAGCTGCTGGGAAGGAGGCCAACTCCATTCAACAACCTCGCTGGAGTTGGGGGCCCGACGGGGCCATTAGCAGGCCTGTCACTAAGACACCGCCGCAGGGCACGGAGCAGACTGGTTGACAAGAAGAAAAGGAGGACTTGTGGCACCTTAGAGACTAACCAATTTATTTGAGCATAAGCTTTCGTGAGCTATAGTTCACTTCATCGGATGCATTCAGAGGGACACTTGAGGATGTCCTCAGAAGTTCATATGTACTGAGTGAAAAACGCAGTGTCAGTCAGAACCCTTGTTTTTAACTTTGTTTTTATGCAGTTAAGAATAAAGCCCTATTTATGGGCTCGCTCCGTATGAGAAATATTCAGGTCACAGAGTCAGAAATGTAAAAGACTAGAGCATTACGTGAAAGTGTTATGTAATCCCCAAACTGGTCAGAGACTAAAGTTGATTTCTTCCTGGCGAATGGTGTCTGAATTCTGCCACAAAGACAGCCCAGGTCAGGTTTGAAGTCGATTAGGTCTGTCCTGGGTCATGCTCATCCTTTGGTGTGATCACAAACAAGCAAAGGAATTCTCACACCTTGCAGATGATGAGCAAGACCACTGTAGACACTTCAGGACTACATGTGAACGTCTCCTTTAATTCCTTGGCAGCACCTAGAAGTTCTCCATATTCTTTGCTTTAAGTCAGTGGCGTAGCTAGGCATGGAAATTTGGGTGGGCATTTCGGGTGGAGGGGCAATGACTCTGCCAGCTCAGCTTCTCCCCTGATGCCATGCCCTCTTCCTAGCCCTGGTGCCCCCTGGCACAGCTCCACCTGCCAAGCTGGGCACGCACATGGGGCAGCTCAGAACGTGGCAAGGCAGAGCTGCCGGAGTGTAGCTTTCTGGAGGGTGGGCGCAGAGCTCTCTCCTGGATTTCAGATGCTCCGGGCCACTGTGGCAGACCTACACCCCTGCTCAGATCTGGGTGGCCTGGATGCTAAGTGGGTGGGCCATGGCCCACCTGTGACTGCGCCCCTGCTTTAAGTACAGCCATTTCCATTTTCACCTGCTCAATCCCTAATCCAAGCACGTCAATGAAAGCACCCCGAGATTCCAGTCTCAAGAAGTCTGGAGCTCAGGTGGAGTACATTGCTGACAAGTTTTTGTGTGACTTGGTGTTCTCAGAAAAAAATCTCCTTTGCAATTCACCACTGTGTTCATCAGTCAGTTCATGGTGCATCTGGCGCCACGGAGGCTCACCGACACTTTGACAGCCTGGGAAGTGCTCAGCAACTATGAAATCTTAGCCCTTTTGTGGCACATCTTAATGTTCATCTTTCAAAACAGGGTCATGGATGAAATTGCTGAGGAAAAACCCATCACTTATTCACCGGCAAGTGTGATCAATTCATTCCTTTCGCAAGGTGCATTTGTTCCTTCTGAAGGGCTTTGTTCACAGGAGCAAACACTCAAAACCATTCTTTTAAGCTCAGCTAAGAACAAGAATGTAGATGATTCTGAAACATCCAACAGCCCTCTTGCGTCAGTGGACAAGTTGCCATATTCATCCACAAAAAGTTTGACAGAAGACTCCGAATCGCTTCAAAATTATTGGGGATTATTTCCAAGCCATCTTGTTTCTGTGAGTCTTTGCAGGTGCTGGCTTTGTACGGCACACTCCCGTCATGTCTGCGGAAAAATTCAGCTAGAGACTTACAATTTGAGAACATAGCTGGCCCTGCTGAGTTTTTCTCACACAGGAGTGAGCACCCGATGTAATTGGTGATTCAAGCAGTGTGCGTCAGGTATTTGCTTGTTTAATTTCCCATGTAAAAGTATTTGTACGCCGCCTGACGTAAGGTTGGAGCCATCAAAGCAAGAACATCAAGTGTTTTTAGTCAAGACCCAGTTCATGGAGGTCTTTCAACATTTGTTATGTAATAGCTTCGGCAGTGAGGCCATGCAATTGGGCTACTCCCACAAGGACTTTGCCACCAACAGCGTAGCATAAACCAGTGGATAAATTTTCTACAGTCACAGCATCCCTTGTTGTGTCATATTTTAGGACATCACCGTTTTTCTGAATATCTTCAACAATATATTTCAAAACCATCTTCATAATATCAGTGTTGTCATTCTGAATTTCAGCAGCGTGTGAAATTGTTCGCATTGTTCGGAATGGTTTGCCGCGCACCCTTGACTTCTGGATCGTGTCCCGCAATAAGTTTAAGTAGGTTGATGACAATTCCTGATGAATTGTTCGGAGTAAGATCTATCACCGCAAACTGCATAACTTTTGCCAAGGTTTTTAAATACTACCTGTTTCTTTCCATTTTGTGAGGGTGACACCAAAGCAGCCAGTGTGGCAACTGAAAAAGGAAGCTGTGATCAAATTAAATATAAAAATCAAATTCATAACTGCAGAATGTTCTCGAGCAAACAAACACACGGAAATAATAAAATCAGAACATTTTTTGTGTGCTGGATCTTGCAATCAAGTTGTGGAGCTTTCCTCCAAGTGCAAGGATTGAAAGTTTGTAGATGCTGATGAAGAGCTGGTTTTCAAAGGCTGGTTTGGTTTTTTGTCCTCTTGGCCTGGTAAATCTAGTTAAAATTTTCTCCTTTCGTAGTTTCCCACAATTAGGATTTTATTTTCACTTTCACGTTGTTTCCGTGTTTTCCCATTAACTTTAATGGTTCACCAGGGTCTGTTCCTAGGTTGTACAATCCTATTTGGAGCTAGTCCTGGCCCATTGGGGCGGCATCCCTCCCGGTCCCTGATTGCTTCTCCACCCTGTATTAGTGGGGTTTAGCAGCACAAATTATGAGCAGTTTTATATACACAAATACATAAATTCATAACCAGGCTTTGTAGCCAGATCTTATAATGACTCTCAGGTTTAGAACAGTACAAGCTTTCATAAGCAATCTTGCTTGACATCTATTTACTACACAATAACATTGTATACAAAATACAGCCAGTTGATTCAACTGCATATTCTTTGTGGTTCTTTGTTCTCCCCGAGGGGGGGTCACAGAAATGTCGACATAGCAAAAAATTACCTGTAGCTTCTCTTTCCCTTGCTGCAATTCCATCAGCCACTGCATTCAAGGGGGCTAAGCAGCCTTCAGGTTTGATGAAACCTTTGCCTCACGAAGGTGCATTTTTCCAATTGCAATATCCAGATGTGATAAAAACCGTACCAGCTCCCATTCCACCAGCATTGTCGGGGCATGCATCCAATGGAGCAGGCAAACAAAAGGCCTTTCCAGCGTATTCCAACCTGGGCTGGGTTCAGGGGCCACTTCTCCCTAAAGCAACGCTGCGCTCTCCAATAATGGGCTGAGGAAAATCCATTTCTGGTTGAGCTGGTTTGTGAGTTCCAAGATCTGACAGCGTCGACGAGCCTGTGATGTCTATCCGTTCCCTGGGTTTGGTATTCTCGTCTGACGTGGCTGGGGGGCTTGGTCCAGTCTTTTTATGAGAAGGACGCATGACAAATGGGTCCATTTTGAGAGCTAGCTCTAGTCCCTGTGCTACGAGGGGCCTGGGTCCATCGGGCTGCGTGGCGTTGCCCTGGTGTAGGGTGTCGGAGCGTCAGGAGGGCAGATAAGCTGCTGGATCTACGCAATGTGCCGGTGGCCAAGCTTCAGGTCTTGTGGGGAATTTGGGAGGAAGGCAACCTGGCTTCCCGTGGGCCCGGCCATCACCAGAGCTCTGGCAGTGGGTGGGAGATTTGAATTTCTGGCTCTGCTGAGTGGCCGGTCCTACTACCCTGCAGGCAGGGGAGGGATGGGTCTTCTCGTCCCTGGGGGCGAATTCAGAGCTGGTGGTACTGCCAGCCCTCATGGGGGGTTTGTGGAGTTGGGCTTTCTTCCCCTCAAGGACAAAGATCTTTCAGCCAGGCTCTGAGGCTGCATCCCTGGCCCACCCCACAACTCCCAGCACAAGAGGCTTGATCTCCACTGTAGAGAGGATTGACTAGGGTGAAGGAAAGCAAAGCCATGTAGAAACAGGGCTCCCCAGCCCACAGTCTCTGGGCGAGGGGGGTACACCCAGCCCTGGCACCCGGCACTCCAGGAGCCCCCCAGCACCCTGCAGTCGCAGGACAGGCAGCTAAGGTTTGGTCCGGTCATCCCCGGCACACCCCAGGAGCAGCGTTCTCCTCACTGTGCGGCCAGAAGGAACATTCCCTGCTCCCCTCCGCGCCGGCGGGCAGGGGCTGGTCACGGCCCAGAGCCCAGAGTCCCCCCCCTTGGCGGCTTTGACAGCAGCCCGCTTCCCAGGGTCGCACCTCTTCCGAAACGCAGTCAGGACCAGCCCTCGGCTGCCGGCACTGGGACGGCTCCGTGGGCCTTAGGCCTGCGATCGCTCACCTTGGAGCAAACTTGGAGTAAGAAACCAGCGTGGGGTGATTTCCAGGGGGGCCGTGCCCCTTCTGCCCCTCAGCTATAGGCCTTGTTAATCTCGGCCTGAAGCATCGGCCCTGGGAGTATTCCTCCTACGCATCCGATGGCTCTCACACACACACACACACACACACACACAGGGCATGACTGTGCAGCACGCGCGTACACAGGGAGTGCCAGCAACACCTCCCAAAATAGCACTGGGAAGGCTATTTAAACCCTGGCCCAGGCCAGGCGGCCAAGTACCCAGGGCTCAGACACACACAGCCGGGCTCACACACACTCACACACACACAGCCGGGCTCTCACACACACACAGCCGGGCTCACACACACTCTCACACACACACAGCCGGGCTCTCACACACACACTCACACACACACACACAGCCGGGCTCACACACACGCACTCTCACACACACACACAGCCGGGCTCACCCCCCCCCAGGCCAGGCGACCCACAGGGCGAGGATGTTCGGCAAGCGCATGGTCCCGCACAGCGTGGGGGTGCTGTCGGCGGCCGAGCTGGGCTGCCTGGTGAAGGAGCAGGACGTGGTGCGGCACGAATCCTTCACGGCCGAATGGAGGGACCTGTCGCTCTCCACCAGGCCCGAGGAGCGGTGAGTGTGGGGCGCGGGCACCCCGGGCAGCGGGACAGGGCGTTGGGCTCCTTGTGCCCCCGTCCCTGGGCTGAGTGGAGCCCTGGGAGTTTCCGTGGAGGGGCAGCCGGGGGGCCCTGGAGCAAACAGGACCCCTGCCCTGGCCCCTCCTCCGTGCCCAGCCAGCCTGGGGCAGAGGGGTCGCAGCCCCTGGGCACAGCGGTGCCCCTTCCCCTCTGCAGCCCCTGCCCAAACCTGTCCCCCTGCGGCTGCCCCTTCCGCCGTCCAGGAGAGAGGCAGACCCAGCTCTGGGGCCGCGCTCCCAGCCCCCAGCCCTGGGTACAACGTCTGACTGGGGGCAGGGTGCGGGATGGGGTGGAGCAAGGCCCCCTCTGTCCCCCCCCAGCCCTGGGTACAGCTTCGACTGGGGGATAGGGTGGAACAAGGCCCCCCTCTGTCCCCGCCCCCAGCCCTGGGTACAACGTCTGACTGGGTGCAGGGTGCGGGATGGGGTGGAGTGTGGCCCCCTCTGTGCCCCCCCGGGCCTGCAGGGCAGCTCCCCTAGCGCGGGCGTCTGTGGAGCTCAGGGCAGAAGGGACCCCAGAGTCTCTCGCTGCCCCGTGGCCCCAGGGGTCGCAGCCCCCCAGCCTCAGGGGGTGGGTTGGGTCCTTGGGCTTGTCTGGGCTCCCTGCTCCCAGGAGGCGATGGGGGGGCTGCCAGGGGCTGCTCCCCGGGTCCCTAACATTCCCCCCCTGCCCCCAGCTCCTGCCTGCGGGAGGCGGATGATCGGCGCAAGGAGACGTACTGGCAGCAGCAGGAGACGCGCTTCGTGGTGCAGCGATCGCCCGGGCTCCTCATGTGGCTGGGCCGGCTGGGCGAGCCCCTGGCCCGCTACCCCCTGCCCTACCAGCGGGCGCTGCCCCTGCCTCTCTTCGTGCCGGCCGACCTGAGCCCCAAGGCCGAGCGGGGAGCCACCCCGCCCCAGCTGCGCCACAGGATGGACTTGGAGACGGCCCTGGCCGGGGGCGCCCTGCCCAGCGGGCAGTGCCGGGACAAGAGGGCCGTGTCGGAGATCACCAAGGAGCTGCCCCCCGTCGTCCAGCCCAGCCGGCCCGACTTCGGCAAGGGGGACTTCCCCCGCTCCCTGTCCCGCTCCCTGTCCCAGGAGGCGCAGAGGGGCTGAGGGGCCGATTTCCGCAGCCGGGGCCCTTCGGCGCCCGCTTGAGACAGCGCCCAGAGCTAGGGTTGCCCAGGCCCCACCACCTTGTGCTCTCTGTGTTCACGCTGTGTCTGTGTGGCACCCATGGCGGCTGCCAGGGTGGAGCTGTGCCCTGCCATGGGCCCAGGGCACCACCCCAAGTGCCCGTCCCCAAGCTTTCCTTCAGTGCCAAGGGTTTGTGCCCGGTAGGAGCTGACAGGCTGGAAGCAGGCTCTACTCCCGTCTGTTAAACCCTCCAGTGGGCTCCTGGTTCCAGCTGGGAACGGGGGCTCCTGGGTCTGGGACACAATGCGGACATCTACACGGCACACCTAGCCCCAGCTCTGACGTGGGGTCAAGCCCAAGGCTCCATTTCGCCCACCCAGACTCGCTTGTGGAGCCCAGCCTGCCATTGCTGTGTGGACCCTCAAGTGCAGGCTTGGAACCGAGTCCATGAGCCGGGGTCCCATGGTGAACAGTGTAGACATACGCAGGGGCAGGACCTCTGGGTTGTGTTCCAGTGAGTTAGACAGGCGAGGTCATGCCCAGGGGGCTGGGGGATGGTGCCCCGGCTGCGAAAGGACAATGCAGGAAGGGATGGAGCGAAGGGGCCACTGCGGGTGAGATGAAGGGGAATCCCAGCCCCTTCACCGGGCAAAGTAACCCACATCCCGCCACCGGCGTGGGAGCCCTGAAGCACCAGCATGATGGGGAGGAGCGCCCTGGGGGCTGCAGGTCCGTGATGGGGGAACTGTGGGGAAATCAGCCCGGGGTGGGAGCTGGCAGTTGGGGGAACTGTGGGGAAATCAGCCCGGGGTGGGAGCTGGCAATTGGGGGAACCGCGGGGAAATCAGCCCGGGGTGGGAGCTGGCAATTGGGGGAACTGTGGGGAAATCAGCCCGGGGTGGGAGCTGTTGGCTGCTGCGGTGCGGCTCCGGGGGTGAGGGTGGTACCAGCTGCTGTGCGGGGAAGCGGGGGGAGAGGTAGGTTTCTATCCGCGTGACTTTTCCTTGTACTGCAATAAAACTCTAGTCTCAACCCCAACGTCCCGCCTTGGTCCTATTCCTTTGAAATGCGCGAGCAGTCGCTGGGGGGCAGCCTGCACCGAGCCTGACCCCCAACAGCTGGATGGGCTCTGAGCTAGCCCAGCCACGGTGCCAGTCACAGCTGGAATTGCCCTCTGCCTGGCATGGCCAGGCCTGCTTCCGGGGCAGAGCGAGGCACAGCGTGGAGGGGCCCGGCACTGTACCCTGCTCCCCCAGTCGCAGCCCAGTGAATCCAGCTGAAAGGCTGATGAAGTTTTGCACCGAGAGAGGTGGCCATTGGGCTGATGGCAGAGGGGCTGGGGCCCCCGTTAGCCCCTCTCCTTAAAAAGGGACAGGGTGGGGAAAGGAGCAGGGACAGGAGCCATCCCAGCAGCCGGGAGCTCAGTGGGTCCCCCGGGGAACGCTGCCGTCAGGCCAGGCTGGAGGGAACTGCAGGCCAGAAAGCAATTAAAGGGAGCCAGGAGCCTGGCGAAAGCCCATAGCTGGCGCTCCGGGGGGCCAGAGGGTACAGCTCCATTTATTAAAGGGGCACGGATGGTTTCATGACCATGACTTGTAGCAGTGTAGGCCTGGGAGCCAGGACTCCTGGGTTCAGCTCCCAGCTCTGATATTTGACCCCAGCCCAGTGCCTCAGTTTCCCCACAGGCCCTGCTCGCTCCCTCCGTGCCCAGAAGCCATGGAGGTGTGAGGCCTCCAGCGATGTGCTGCCAGAGCCTGAAGGCAGCAGCGGTTTGGGCAGGGCCAAGGGTTAACGGGCTGACAGGAGACAAGGATCTGGGCGGGGGGGTCCATGTTCTGTTCCCCTCGCCCACACACGCAGCAGCAGGCTGACCCTGCCCTAGTGTAACCCGCACGAGCAGAAGTGACTCCTTGTCTCCCTCCAGAGGCTGGCCCACAGAAGGGGTTAATGGGCTGGCTACAAGCTGTGGCTGGGAGCAAATCCTGCCAGGCCGTTCCCCGGGCTCAGCTGAGACAGGACCTGCTCCCACTGGGTTCTGGCCAGGATCAGCCCCTGGCGGGCAGAGGCAGGCACGGCCTCCCAGAGTCTCCTGCCTGAAGTCCCATGAAGGAACCGGGACTGGCCCTTCCAGAACGGCCTCCTGTGCTTAATTATAGCCCGGGCAGGGATCTGCTTTCAGAGCTGGGAGCAGGCCGGGCCCCCTGCCCAGCCAGCATGGGGGTGGGGGGGGGGGCGCTGTCAAGGCAATGGCTCTAAACAGAGGCGCTTGGCAAGTGACCACAGCCTGCAGGTGACCTTGCCGAAGGCTGGGCGCTGTTACTTTTAAAGGCAGCGTGTCTTCCCCCCCCCTCCCCCGCCCCAGCTTCGTCCCGTGCGAGCGCTGGGTGCGAGAACTGCACGGGCCGCGCCACGTGCCCAGTGGGCAGAGCCGCCCAGCCACGTGCCTGCTGCCAGGGCCGGGAGGGCATCCCACACTCAGCTCTGCTGGTGCCCCTCTGGCCCGCCCCACACGCCGCCTCGTATTCGAGCCACAGGCTCCCTCTCCTTGCAGCCCTGACCTGGCCCCTCATCCCACCCCCCACCTCCTGCTGCGCCAGCCCCGGGCGACCCATGGGCTGAGCGTTACTCAAGCGCTAACCCGGCAGTTTGCCGTGGCTGGGCAAACAGCCCCCTGGGAGCCGCCCTAGCTCATGCCAGGTGTGAGCTGGCCCCAGTGCCCAGCGGCCTCAGGGCAGAGCAAGTGTCTGTGTCCCCCGCCCCTGCGGCCCTGTCAGCTGCCACCTGCTCCTGGCCTGGGAGCAGAACTTTAACAAGGCCATAAACAGCTTCTGTCCTTGGCACAGCCAGGCTTGGGGGGGAGCGGGGCAGGGGGAGGACCAGAGGTTTGGCCAGAGGCTCTTTAACCTCTGCAAGAGCGGGGGGAGGGGGCACCTGGCATGGCGTTCCCTGGGAGCTGGTCATGTGTCACCCAGGGGTGGGGGGACAGTGATGCTCCCCCCGCGCCCACCCAAAAGGCAGCAAACTACTCCTAGCGGTGGCATCCGTCTATCTCCCAGGTGCCCTTGGGCACCAGGGGGCCAGTCTTCAAGCGGAAGCTGCCTGCCAGGCTGCCCTGATCCCCAAAATTGGCAGGCTTTCTGGGGTGGGAGCATGGCCTGGACCCAGTGCCCTGCACCCCAGCTGGGGGGGGGGGCAGGCAAGCTGCCTGTCAGGGGCACAGGGGGCCAAAGGGGGGACTTATATTAGCGCTGGGTGGCTGGAGGCCAGCTCTTGAGGGGCAAGCCAGAGCAGGTGCTGTAGGCGCAGGGTGGAATTAGGACCCAGGCGTCCTGCTGCCCAGTCCCCTGTGTAGCCCCAGGTGGGCCACCCTTGTATCGGTGTCGTCATTGTCACCTGCAGGGCACACCCAGCTGTATGCCCGTGCCACCCCCGGGTGCAGCCTGCCAAGCAGAGCTAACCCCTCTCCCCCCGCCATTGGCAACTCACTGCAGCGTCTCCCTGAGCTCAGCTGGCAAAGGCCTGGGCCCTGGGGAACCAAAGGGCCTGAGGCTTCACCGGTTTGCTGGGGAGGGTTGGGGGGGGGTGTTAGCCAGGTGCCTGGCATGTGCTGCAGCTGGCAGCAAAGGGGCTGCCCTGTGGGGTGATGGCGTTATGGCAGCAGGCGTCACCTGCGGTGGCAAAGTCTCACCCCTTCACCGTCCTCGCGTGCGAGTGGTCAGTCTTTGAAGCAAACGCTGCATCCGTGTGAGGCGCGGGACACGCTCCTGCCGGGGCGCTGTGGCCCGCGGGAAGGGTTTGCTCTCCGCCTTGTTTGCCAAGTGACGTTAAGTCTGGGGTGCCAGGGGCTTCCTGGGAGCCAGGTGGGGGGGGGGGTGTGGGCTGGGCCTCCCGACTCAGGCGGGTGCCTGCCTGGCGTACGTGACCTCCTGTGAGCGAGGCGGGGGCCATGCGGTGTGAACGACCAGACCCCACTCGGAAAATAGCCAGGGTCAGCGTCACGGCTTCTTTCTCAGCTGGGAGGCTGACCTGGGGGCGTGGAAGGGGGGGACTCGCCTCTGCCAAGCCCCAGCAGTGGGAGGGGGCAGGAGCAGATGCCAGGGGAAGCGCTGGTGCCCCGATTGCAAAAGCCCCCCGCCCCACCTTGTGTGCCGGCTGCAGCTGTATGTCGAGAGTCAGCAGCGAAGCGGGCTGGCCTGGGGCCCCAGCTCTGGCCTGTCCCCCGGGCTCCCCCATGCCAGGACGGCTACCACGGCGAATGGAAGGAGCGAGTCATGCCGCCTTTCCTCCGTTTATTACCCAGACGGACCGAGCGCCACGGTAACAGCAGCGGGCCAAGCAACACGGGGACGCTGACAGGGAATTCCTCACCCCGGACTATCAGCCCAGGGGATTCAGGCTGCAAATGAGCTCCCGAGGTCAGCCCTGTCCTGACATCTGCAGGGAGCCGCTCGCCGCCCTCACGCACCAATCCTCCTCCTGCAGCGCCGGCCAGCTGAGCCTCGCCTTGCGCCTCCCCATGCCAGCAACTGCAGCCTCCCGGGTCTGCCGCATCTCCACTGAATCGCTTGTCCTCCCCGGGCTAGGGACATGATCCAGCTTCTTGACTCTCGGTCACTTGCATTAACCACTAGCCCACATTCCTCTCTGAGAGCTGGGAATAGAACCCAGGAGTCCTGGCTCCCAGCCCCTGACTGCTCTAACCACTAGCCCCCACTCCTCTCCCGGAGCTGGGAATAGAACCCAGGAGTCCTGGCTCCCAGCCCCTGACTGCTCTAACCACTAGCCCCCACTCCCCTCCCCCGCTGTGCTGTTAGATCGGAAGCTCATCAGCTGTTGTGACAGCTGATTGACAGCCCAGCCATCAGCATGCATGGCGCTGTACGAACCCACGGGCCCTGCCCCACAGAGCTCACAGCCTAACTCGAAAAGCCACACGCAGCCACGGCGTAACCTCGCTGAGCTTACACCCGGGATGGCTTTGGCCCTGGGATGGGGCCTCTACAGTAACCCCGCGTTGCCCGGCTCACCGTGGGTACTTCTCATGCAGGGGGAGCCGTGAGCTGGGAACGCAGAGCCCTATGGGCAGGTCCGTGCCCCGGCCCCTCAGCCCCTCTGCGCCTCCTGGGACAGGGAGCGGGACAGGGAGCGGGGGAAGTCCCCCTTGCCGAAGTCGGGCCGGCTGGGCTGGATGACGGGGGGCAGCTCCTTGGTGATCTCCGACACGGCCCTCTTGTCCCGGCACTGCCCGCTGGGCAGGGCGCCCCCGGCCAGGGCCGTCTCCAAGTCCATCCTGTGGCGCAGCTGGGGCGGGGTGGCTCCCCGCTCGGCCTTGGCGCTCAGGTCGGCCGGCACGAAGAGAGGCAGGGGCAGCGCCCGCTGGTAGGGCAGGGGGTAGCGGGCCAGGGGCTCGCCCAGCCGGCCCAGCCGCATGAGGAGCCCGGGCGATCGCTGCACCACGAAGCGCGTCTCCTGCTGCTGCCAGTACGTCTCCTTGCGCCGATCGTCCGCCTCCCGCAGGCAGCAGCTGGGGGCAGGGGGGGAATGTTAGGGACCCGGGGAGCAGTCCCCGGCAGCCCCCCCATCGCCTCCTGGGAGCAGGGAGCCCAGACAAGCCCAAGGACCCAACCCGCCCCCTGAGGCTGGGGGGCTGCGACCCCTGGGGCCACGGGGCAGCGAGAGACTCTGGGGTCCCTTCTGCCCTGAGCTCCACAGACGCCCGCGCTAGGGGAGCTGCCCTGCAGGCCCGGGGGCAGGGGGGGCACAGAGGGGGCCACACTCCACCCCATCCCCCACCCTGCACCCAGTCAGACACTGTACCCAGGGCTGGGGGGGACGGGGGGGCCTTGCTCCACCCCATCCCGCACCCTGCCCCCAGTCAGACGTTGTACCCAGGGCTGGGGGCTGGGAGCGCGGCCCCAGAGCTGGGTCTGCCTCTCTCCTGGACGGCGGAAGGGGCAGCCGCAGGGGGACAGGCTTGGGCAGGGGCTGCAGAGGGGAAGGGGCACCGCTGTGCCCAGGGGCTGCGACCCCTCTGCCCCAGGCTGGCTGGGCACGGAGGAGGGGCCAGGGCAGGGGTCCTGTTTGCTCCAGGGCCCCCCGGCTACCCCTCCATGGAAACTCCCAGGGCTCCACTCAGCCCAGGGACGGGGGCACAAGGAGCCCAACGCCCTGTCCCGCTGCCCGGGGTGCCCGCGCCCCACACTCACCGCTCCTCGGGCCTGGTGGAGAGCGACAGGTCCCTCCATTCGGCCGTGAAGGATTCGTGCCGCACCACGTCCTGCTCCTTCACCAGGCAGCCCAGCTCGGCCGCCGACAGCACCCCCACGCTGTGCGGGACCATGCGCTTGCCGAACATCCTCGCCCTGTGGGTCGCCTGGCCTGGGGGGGTGGGGAGGGGTGTGAGCCTGGCTGTGTGTGTCTGAGCCCTGGGTGCTTGGCCGCCCGGGTCAGGGTTTATAACGCCTCCCTGCTGCTATTTCCGAGCCGCGTCGTCAGGAGCTATATCTGCCCCACGCGGTCACGCTCCAGCACTCCAGACACCGGACACCACCCGCGTTTGCTGTTTACTGGAAACCAGCTCCGGCCTGGCGCTCGCCCTGCCGTGCCAACGTTTATACCCCTGCCCCTCGCGGAGCCTTTGGGAAGCTGCAGGGGTCTCAGCTACGGGGTGTGTGTGGTGGTCGGGGGCGGTGATCCTGGGCCACTGTCCATGCCAGGTGGCCCCAACCCTTTCGGAGTGTGAATTAACCCTTTGCAAACCCCCAGCCCAAGGCTGGAGGACAGGGCTGGTCACAGGGAGGTGAAGTGATCTACTCTGGGTCACAGAGGGAATCAGTGGAAGAGCTGGGAATAGCCAGGAGTTCTGATACCCTCGCCTATCCTGCTCTAACCACCAGACCCCACTCCCCTCCCGGAGCTGCGAATGGAACCCAGGAGTCCTGGCTACCAGCTCCTGTACGCTAGACCACCATCCCCTTCTAGGGCTGGGAATAGAACCCAGGAGTCCTGGCTCCCAACCCACCCTGCCCCCGCTGTAACTGACTAGATCCCGGGCCTCTCCCTCCCACAACTTCAAAGGCCAAGGCTAGTGGGGAAAAGGGGTGGTGGCTCTTTTAAAGGTCTCCCCCTTGCCTCAGAGCTGGGAGGGTGGGGGCGATACCAGTGGAGCCGGCCGGCTGGCTGGTGGGGCCCAGGTGAGCCAGTGGCCCCTGGATGGCAGAACCCAGGTGTCCCGAGAAAGCATGTGGAAGCTGGAACTAGAACTGGGGGCGGTTCTCGGGTTGGGTTTCTCATTGACGGGCCGGGCTCGGCACTGCCCCAGGCCATGGAGCACAGGGCCTGCTGGTCTCCAAGTTTGGGGGTTGAGCTTATCCTGAAACCTGACCCCGGAGGCCCCCTGTGTTAGTGGTCCCCTGGCTGGTGAGCTCCCAGCCCCTTGTTCGGTGGGCCCACCCGGGGGCAGTGACAACTGAGCGAGCCCATGAGCTCAGCACACTCCGCCGGCCCAGAGACGCAATGTGAAAACCTCGCCCAGCCGGGAGAATATGTGCTGAGCAGCCCGGTCTGGCTGTCCCGCCGGGGACAAGGGGATGGGGCTAATTATAGACACCCTGGGTCCAAGGATTCCTGGGGGCGGGCGATGTATCAGCATGTGAAAGACTCACACTTTCCGGGTGGAGAATTGCGGCTTAGAGCAGGGGGGCAGGGAGCCAGGACTCCTGGGTTCTATCCCAACTCTGGGAGGGGAGTGGTTAGAGCAGGCGGGCCCCTGGATCCTTCATGGCCAGTAAGTGGCCTCCAGGTATTGGTCTCAGTGGGGAGCCAACGACTGACCAGGCCGATCAGCTATCAGCCTGACCCCAGCAGCCCACCCATGCAGCCAGCAGCAAGTGACAATTCCCACCCCCCGCAAAAAGCCCGCCAGCAGCTCACTGATCAAAACACATTTGCCCCGCCAGAGAGCCGGGATCGGCCCCAGTTAATGGCCTTTCGCTGACATAATTTATGAGCTGAGGCAGCTTTTCCAAAACAGCCTGAAAGCACCTGGGGCTGCTAACCCGTTCCAGGCCTGGCCTTATCAGCTGCACCAGAGCTATTTCACAGCCACAATTGACAGGGCCCCGAGGCCGGCCCCCCTTGCCCGCTAACTCCATTACCACCCTGGTTTGCATTGTGCCAAGGAGCCCCTTCCCATCACGTGGGTGGGGGGCTCTGAGCGGATCCAGCTGCCATGAATGGGCTGGGAGGGGAGCTGGTTTGTTCCTGCCTGGGAGTCTGAAATCAGCCAAGAGGCTGAAATTGGCGAGGGGAGGTGGCAAAGGGAAGCCCCCTGCCCCTTCCCCATTGGCTGCGGTGGATCTCCCCCCCCGCCCAACCAGTGCCTGGGGTCCTCAGGACAGCCCCATCTCGCCCCTGGCACGGGAGGCACCAGGGAGCCAGGGTGGAGCGCTAGGGATGGGTTGAGCAGGCTGGCCAGCTGGTGGCTGAGAGCTGGGGTCCTGCTGGGGCAGAGCTGCCTCCCCCGGAGCACATCACAGAACCACCCTGCTGCTCAAGTGCAATTAACGACCTGTGTTCCCGAGGGGCCCATGTGGAAAGGAATCAACAGAGCTGTGGGTTGGGGGGGACCCATGGCTGCGATAGCAGGGGGCTGCGGGCGGGGACTGAGGGGCGCCGGCAGAGCTCTGGGGGGGGAGCACAGGGCTGCAATAGCAATGGGGCTGCAGGCGGGGATTGGGGGGCACCGGCAGAGCTCTGGGGGGGGAACACAGGGCTGGAATAGCAATGGGGCTGCGGGCGGGGATTGGGGGGCGCCGGCAGAGCTCTGGGGGGGGGGGGGAGCTGGCACTTCCCTTACGCTCATCTTCACAAGCATTACGCTCACTTGTGCGGAGCCAGACCCCGTCAGGAAGCTGAGCCGGTCGGTGTGGAAGGGCAGCTATGCCGGAGCGGCAGGACGCAGCTCGGCCCCCCCCGGCGTTGACACTAACCTGGTTAGCCGGGATGAACGGCCACAATAAAGTCGCCTTTCAATATGCTTGGCAAATGATCATCCGGTGCAAGATAAACTAATCTCCCACCCCACCCCCGCCGTGTCTCTGGGGCCTCCATTAACTTCCCTAAAGGTCCATCCAATCACTGCACAACAAGCTTCCTCCCCGCCTGGCTGGGCTGGGGGGCCAGCGTGTTTCGGGGAGCGGGAGCGGGGGCGGGAGGAGGCAGCTAGAGAAACGGCCTCAATTTCCATCCGCCCTGCGGGGAGCACCAGGTCCCATCTGCCTGGCGCACGTTGGGCCCTAATCAGATTGGGCCAATTAGCACATTGCGACGCCCTGAGCCACCCAGGGCAGGGGCTATAAAGGCCGCTCCCTCAGCCCCAGCTGGGCGTGAGCCGGCTGCTGATCCCCCAGCCATGAGCAGCATCGTGGCCGTCGGGGAGAGCTACCAGAAGTTCAACCCCAGAGCCTACCTGCAAAACAACTACATGCCCCCCCGGGCCGACTTCAGCTCTGAGGACTGCGTGGTGCCCTGGAAGCTGCGGTGTCTGGCTGAAGCCTTCACCACAGGTGAGGGTTGGGGTGGCGGGGTGAGACGACAGCTGTAAATGAGCCTTTAAAGGGCTTTGCAGGCATCAGTGGATGAAGCCTCCGAGCTGCCGTGGGAGGGGAGTGTCACGGCCTCCCTGTTACTGATGGGGAAACTGAGGCACAGACTGATGCCATCACTCTCGCTGGGCCGCCCAGGGAACTGGTGGCAGAACTGGGAGCAGAACCCAGGAGTCCTGGTGGTAGGGTGACCAGATAGCAAATGTGAAAAATCGGGACGGGGTTAATAGGCATCTCTATAAGAAAAAACCCTGAATATCGGGACTGTCCCTTTAAAATCAGGACATCTGGTCCCCCTATCTGGTGCCCAACCTCCCACTCTGATCGCTATGCTCCGTTCCCCTGGCAGCTCGGGGGAGAGAACCCAGGAGTCCTGGTGCCCAGTCTCCCACTCTGACCACTATATTCCGTTCCCCTGGCAGCTCGGGGGACAGAACCCAGGAGCCACGACTCCCACCCCTCACCTCCGCTAGGCCGAAACTCTCCATCCATTTCTGCTCTCACAGCCTCCTCCACTGCAAAGCAGGTAACCAAAAAACTCGCCCACCCCTCAGCACACGTCCGTCTGTACCGGTCTCCCTCGCCCCCAGGTGACATCCACGGCCGCACCCTGATAGACGTCGGCTCCGGCCCCACCATCTACCAGCTCCTGAGCGCCTGTGACCACTTCGAGGAGATCATTGCCACCGACTACCTGGAGGTGAACCGGGCGGTGCTGCGCCGGTGGGTGCAGGGCGAGCCTGACGGCTTCGACTGGAGCCCCTACATCAAACACGTCTGCCGGATTGAGGGCAAAGGGTAGGCGGCTGCGGGGGGGGAGGAAGGGGGCAGGCTGCGACCAACTGGTCGGTGGCCCCAGAGCCGGGGGAAGAGCTGCTGGTGTGGGGTTCGGCTGGAGGCAGCCCCGGGCAGCTTGTGCGGGAGCGAGGGGCGTTCGAGCAGGACTGGACGCAGCAGCTGCTCTGGCTGATGCTCCGTGGTCCGGGCTGTTTGTGTGACCTGAGGGTGTCGCTTGAACTCCCAAAAGGTCGCTGTTTGCTGGGTGGAAATGGACGGGGGCGGGGGGTGGATTTAGCAAGTGGGTGACAAGCGGGGGGGGTTGCTGAGCCCCAGAGTTAAAGGAGCCAGGGAGGCCTTGGAGTTGTCGGCCAGCACGTGTCACATGGAGCGCACCGCCGCCCCAGCCGTGTCCCACACGTTCACCCACACCCCGACACCCCCTCACCCCCCCTGCTCTTTGAGACTCGCCCCCCGCCCCCAATCGCTGAGGTCACCAAGTCACTGCCCCTCCAGCCTTACAAAGTTGACGCCCAGCAAGCCCCAGTGTCCTGGGCCCGCTAACCCACCGCCTGGCCTCACCCCCAGGGGCTTTGCCCTGCCAGCCAGAGAGGCCAGGCAGCGTGGGCACCAGCGCTCCGGCTCAGCGTGACCCTCGCACCAGGGCTCTGCCAGGCTCTGGCTTTCGAGACTCGCTCCTCAGCCCTGCTCCGAAAAGCCAAGCTGAGCCGGCCTCCCGGGCTGGAGGGCAAGTCTCCTGCAGCAGGGCTGGGGGTAGGAGCTGCTCGGGCAAAGCAGATTGCTGGCTCCAAAAAAACCAACCAGAGAGCGTCGGCGATGGTGCGGGGGGGACGACTCATGCATCTGGTCACGTCACTGCAAAGCCCCCGCATTGATTGCGACCAGGGCACTCCTCAGGGTACAGATTGCTAACCAGCCCCAGGGCCAGGGGCTCTGCCTGCCCTGCTTGGGAGCAGCGAGTGACGGGGGGCGAATGATCTTCTGAGTGCAGAGAAGTGTTCTGCCCACGGGCTCTGGAGTCCCTCCCGGCTGTAGCTCGCCCAGACAGTTATACAGCTCCTCAGGGAAGCGGCTGAGCACCTGGCCAAGGAGCCAGCTAAACAGCCTCTCCCTAGGAGTCTCAGCGGCGGAGACGGACCACGGGTGGGTCCCTCTTATCACCACAGCATCTTGAGTGGGCATAAAAGTCTCACCCCGCCCCATCCGGCACATTTCCAGGGGCCAGTTGGGCCAGAATTCCCCTTTGGCGCCTCTGATCCTGTCATCCCCCTTAGAGCACCGTAACCCCCCACTCCCTCCTAGGTGCGGCTGGGTACACTACCCCCTGCTGCCCATTGCTGGACTCCCCTGCCCCCTTTCTCATGGTCAGGCCTCATTCTTTTCTGGCTTGCACAGGGAGCAGTGGAAGGAGAAAGAGCAGAAGCTCAGAGGGAAACTGAGGCAGATCCTCCCCATCGACGTCCACCAGCCCGAGCCACTGGGCTCCCAGGTGGGCCAACCGGCCGACGCCCTGGTCTCCACCTTCTGCCTGGAGGCGGTGAGCCCTGACCGGCCGAGCTTCGAGAGAGCGCTGAGTAATGTTACCACCCTGCTGAAGCCCGGGGGCCATTTCCTCCTCATTGGTGCCCTGGAGGAGTCTTTCTACCTGGCTGGTGAGGCCAAGCTCTCAGTGGTCCCAGTGAGCGAGGCGGACGTCAAAGAGGCCTTGAGCAAGAGCGGCTACCACATCCACAACTTCCGCTCCTACCTCATGCCGCCCAGCCTGAAAATTGGCGTGGATGACGTGAGTGGGGTCTTCTTTGTCCATGCACAGAAGAAGCCTGTGGCCTGTGACTAGGCAGGCCTGGGCACTCCTCTTGTTCTTTGCCAAGATGCACGTCCTACAGCAAAGTGAAGCTTGGTAGCTAGTAATGCAATAGATGCATCCGTCCTAGGCAGATAACCTGACATGCTGCGTGATTCTCCTTACGGCCCCCTCCGCCCCCAGCTCCAAAGCTCATCTCCTTCGCACGTGGTAGCCGATTTAGCAGTGAAGGGGTTAAATGAAACTGGAGGCAGGTGGATTAGCTGGTTCTCTGAGAGGCTCATAAATTCTAGGCTTCTATTAATGGCAGGTCCTGTTCCCCTATGTCTGCCGAGGGCCAAGCATGGCTTGAGCAGTTACTGGAGTATCAGGCAGGGTTGGCTTTCGGTAGCACCTTGTGCCGTACAGAGTGAAATCCTACTCGGGGCATGCATTTCGAGAGCCCCCTGATCAGCTCTGGGTGCTTATACAGCACTTTGCGGGGGGGTGGGGGGTGTTCAAAGTGCTTACATCATTCAGTTAATCTGCCAACCAGCCTGTGAAGCAGATCTGCCTTACCACCCTTGTTTTATAAACAGGGTAACTGAGTCACAGAAACTAAGTAGGGGCTAGTTAGAGAGCGAGAGCTGGGACTAGAACTCAGCCACTTCCCAGTTCCTGATCCTGCACTCAATGCACTGGTTTCTCCCTCTCCACATAGTTTTCCATGACATGCAGCCACCTCTGGGGCAGAACGCAGCACCTGCTAAAGGGCAGACAGTAACATTCCACAAGAGTTTAGAACAGGTAATGAAAAACCGCCTCCCACTCCATCTGAAAGTGAAAGGGGAGTAGGAGGTAGGCAGAATATAAATTACCCAATCTGGAATTTCATTGTATAGGGAGAATACAAAACTAGGCAGAATTTCAGCAGGATTCCAACTTCAGAATTAGTGCAACTTAGTTTTGGTACCAAACCCATCCGCTGAAGACTTTAGTGAGAACCTCAGATAATTTAGGCCCAACAGTTAGATTTTTACAGTATGTTTAAAGTACATTTCAGAGAAGCTACCAATGATGAGATGTTTTCATGATTGCCATGGCACTTTACCTAGACATTTATTTTGTGGCTATAGACATGTTCCATGCTGTTCTCAGAGAGTGATGCACTGTGCCTTTGTTTTACTGCATGAGAATCCATTGAAAATAAAAGCTATAAAGTAAAGGCAAACGGGGCTGTCTAGATTCACTTGGAGTTGGGGAAGCGTAAATGTTAAACAAACAGCCCACAAAGCAGATGCATGTCTCGATTTAAGTAATCCCAAAGTGGTTAATAGTTCAGCTGACAACTTTAATAAATACAAGGTGTTTAATTTGGAACTAACCCTTTAAAGAAATGTTTTGGAAAAAAACAAAACAAAGGGCTTTCCCCAAGATGGGGGGCACAGGGACCCTCTCTAGTTAACTCTCTCTGCAAAAAAATTGCCTGGAAGCCAAGGGTGGGATTTTATGGTGCTTAATTGAGGGCAGAGCACCACCCTTAGCCGGGCTCTCCAATTTCCTCTCGGGGCTGCAGCAGCAGACGCAGGACCTGCAGGTCGCATTGGTCAGACGTGAGGTGGCGTAAAGACACAGTGTCTTTCAGAGGCCCGACACTGTGCCCGCACAAGGTCACGGAAAATGGATGGGGCAGCTCCGCCGCACCATTGGAAGTCAGTTTTACAGGCTGTCTCTTTACCGTTTCCTGTCAGCTCGTGCTCCTTCTTCACCCTGCGCAAATACCTGCCTTGGATCGTGCTGTAAAAACAGCCGCGTTGGTAATGACATCACCGCTTCTTTAGCCACTGGGTCACAATGGTGCCGGGCTGGCCTCATTCTACTCGGGGGTTAGTTCTTGCAGTTGGGCATGGTGAAGGAATTCAAGGCTTCAAAAGAGCATCCAGTCTTTAAATCCAATCCCCGCCCCAGCGGCGGGCCAATGAGCTCAGAGGGATTTCGGCTCGCGCGAGGCCAGTGAGTGTTACCTTACTAGCCAGAATACTGACATTGCACCCCTCAGCATGGCAGGTAACCGCAGGGGACAGGACAGCGGGCCCTGTTCACGGGACTAACTGATCACCAGGGAGGTTAGGTGGAAATTCCTTTCCCTTCCCCAGCTTCAGCTGCTGCTGGGAGGCAGGAGATAGGTCTGGCTGTGTCATTGCTGTGCCCAGTTACAGCCCCCACCCTGCATTCCCCGTTCCTGTCCCTAGAGAGGGATTTGGGGCAAAGCGCACAAGCTGCATTAAATAAAGCAACTAGTTTGATTTAGAGCTGTTGCATCCTTAAGCACAGAAGTTTCCCCAGGGCCTGACTGCCAGGTGCTCCCTTACATCATGTCAGCCTCAGCCCCGGAAAGCATAGTTCAGAGTCCTCCTGCCTTTGAGTTTCTGATTTGATCGTACGGTTTTCTGCCTTGTCTAAAGAACGTCATAACCACGCCATCCAATCCAAACCCTGGAAAGGCCGGCAATCTGGCCCAAGCTTTATCCCAAGAGCGTAAGCCGAATGTGACTGCAGCTCCAGGTCTCCTGGCTGGCCCCTGGCCACGCGGTTTAGAGGATGGGGGCCAGGAGAGTGGCTGGGATCCTGCTCTAATCAGGGTTCCTGGTAGGAAGCCCAACCCTGCTCCCAACTGCAGTGGAAGGGAGTCTGTCCATTACTAACCACAGGAGGTCCGAGAGCTGGCATCACCAACCCATCTCCAGTTCCCATCTCACCCTCGCTCCTTCCAGTCAATTCTCCCTCCACCCCAAGCCAGTAACTCCTGGACCTGATCCCTGGATGGAGGTAGCTGCTTCCTGGCCATGACCCTCCCAAACCTGCCCCCCAGCTGGCCACATGACAGCACTCCATTTAATTCAGGATTTGAGGCAGAGAGGGGATTAAAGAGTGGTTATTATTAATATTTCTGGCAACTCCAAATGGTTTTTCTTTTAGGTGGAGATTTGGGAGCAAAAAACCAACAGATGAAGGGGATGGAGATTATTAGATTAATTACAATTTTATTCTCAGAGAAACCAGGACAACAACAAAGACAAAGGTTCATTTGCACCGTTTGCAATAATCGCCGACTTGACCCAAGTCTAATACAATGAACTGATCACGCTCCAAAGAGCTGATTTAAGAAGTGAAACAGCAACAGAATACACGTTAGTCACAGTCACCTCCCCACACGACAGGTGTGTGGGCTGTACAGTGATAAAAAATCTGCCCCCATTCCCTTATTACCATGATATATACAGATTATCCCAACCCATCACCTGTATAACCAGAGAAGGAAATATCCTCGGAAACGGAGGAGGAAAAAGAAACTCACAAATCTATGCTCTCCCCCTTTCCCCCGCAGCAAAGCAGCTGCTCCCACCAACCGCACTTTCCGGTCACCTTCAGGAAATTCTGTTACCAAGCCCAGCTGAAGTGGCTGGCAGGGGCGATGCCAGTAGAATGTCCGGTCACTTTCCATGTGAAAAACAAATGCCAGGCTCCGGTGATAGCTACGAGGGTGAAAGGCCAGCGAGCGAGCACACAATGTGCTGCGTTGGCTGGAAGCTATCTGGGGAGGATGTGCTGTTTGTTTTCTACTTCTAAAATTACCCACTGGGACGTTTCAGTAAGAAGTTGGCACAGAGCGCTCAGAGGCCACAAGCTGCTTTTGCGGCCGGGGTCAATCATTTCTCTCTCTCACACACAAACACACACACACGAAAGAAACTTCACCTGCTTTCACTGTACGATCACCTGTTGTATACCACTGCCCACACAGCCAGTCTGTTCTTGGCAAGAATTTCCATGAGAAGCCTCCATTACAACCCTGCTAACTACAGCGTCACACCAAATGCCTCCTCCTTGCTCTGGTACAGCACTCTGGTGGAAAGCCACGGGGAGGGAGGGGCTCATGGATCAAGGCCTCCCAGTGCAATAGAAGTTTTTAAACTGGCCCGAAAACTATCTGCTCCAGCACACGCGCACACACAGTGAGTAAGGAAAACTAAGGTTTAAAACCAGAGACAGGGCATTTTTTTTCCAGAGATGCTTCCCCCGAGACTCGGAGCACAGTGACTACAGGAGACCAGGCTGGAATAAGGCAAAGCCCTGGGATGGCTGCTGGATGGAAAGGTGAGGTCAGAGCCTTGGGCCTGCAGAGCAGGTGCCAAGCCCTGGAGCAAGTGGGAAGAAGGGACGCTGGCTCTTCAGGAAGTGGGGGAAGCAAGGGAAGTCCTGCTAGGCCAGTCTCAGGGGACAGAGCAGGGGCTGGAGTGTCAGGAGGCCCCGTGCCAGGAGGGAATGCTGGCATCAGCCCCACCCCCACCTGGGAAAGCCCAGCCACGTCCCAGCACTATCAGAAGAGGATGGTACCGAGGCCTATCGCGACTCCTTTCAGTAACAGGCCAATGCCCACCAGCGACCTAGGAAGCAGCAGATATGCCAGTTGGTGCCGACCTTGGCAAGCGAGCCCAGCTGGCCTATTGCAGCCCCAGCATAAGGAAGGCAGGAGGTTCTACCAAGGTGAAGGAGCCATTCTCTGGACCAGGGGTTCTCAATCTCTCTTTCTGAGCACCCCCCAACATGCTTTAAAAATTTCATGGCCCACCTGGGCCACAACTGCATATCCAGTGGATTAAAAGCTAGGGCCAGCATTAGGGGGTAGCAAGCACGGTATGGCCCAGGGCCTGATGCCACAGGGGGCCCCTCGAAACTAAATTGCTCAGGCTTCAACTTCAACCCTGCTCTCTGGTTTATTTTGGCAGACCCCTGGGCTGGACACAGCTCTGGACACTCCACAGCTCTGGACCACCGCATGCCAAAGGGTGGGACTGCGACTGGAGATGAGCGAGAGGAGGGCCTAGCCTTGTGGAACCGCATGGGCCGCTGCCAGGAAGATACCCCGAGTCCTCAGGGACAGAATCCCTCCAGGGAAGAGACCAGGTAAATCCACTGGCTGCAAGAGAGGTCCCAGCGAGTCAGACATGTCACTGCCCAGCCGGGCTCAGCCAGAGAAGGACCCCACTACAATGCACTGAATGTGGGAAAAGCCTCAGCCAGTTCCAGCCACCCGGCGCCAGCTGCCATCCCATCAGCTCCACTCGCCCCCTCTCACTGCTCATGATCAGTGCACATCAAGTGCAGAGGCAATGCAGGGGGACACGTGAGCCCCCCCGGTGTCTGCCCTCCATTTAGCACTCAGGTTTTCAAACCATGGAGCCCACCGTTTGGAAACCATCGCCTCCTGCCAGGAGCCAGAGGATTGGAAGCTGGTGGGAAGCTGCCCAGCCTGCTTGGGTCCCTGGCTCTCTGGGCTGTGGGAGCCGGAGCGCTGGCTGGCTGCCTGGTTCCTCTGCTCCCCGAGCCTGGCCACCTCTGCACGGCTGGGTGCTCCCCAGGCAGGGTGGGCGGCACAGCTCCAAGATGTGCCCGATGTGTTCTTGCCTCCCCCCGAAGGAGCCCGGGGCTGACCGGTGACCCCCCCAGGAGCCAGCCCCTGCCAGTGGAGACCAGCTGTCATGAGATGCTCCCTGAGGTGCTTGCTTGCCGCTGCCCTGGCCCTCCTGCTGCTCTTCAGCCCAGAGGACACGTGTGAGGCAGGCGCACCCCACCCCTCCAAATCTTTAAATTGTATCCTGCCCCCCATCAAGAGTTGTGCACGGTCTCTAATCACGCCACTTCCAACATGAAATTCCAGGGCCTGACTTGAAAGCTGGCCTGCCTAGTACTTTCAGCGCCGATCCGATGCAGAGCCTGGCCCCGGCTGCTCAGATCCACCTGCGTAGGAATGGCCCTTCCTGTGCAGCGGGTACTGCACCCCTCCACAGACGGCTCTCATCCGGCAGGAAGAGGATTCTACTTGTTTACCTTGAGATTTCCCTGCCCTAGGAGCTAGCTGGACAGGGCATTCTCCGCTAGCCAGACGACAAAGTGCTGCGGGAGTCATACAACATCTCCGTTTGCTCATTCTGGATATGGCTCTGCAAAGTTACGGGCTCCTGCACCAGGGGTATGGCTAGTCTAGGATCTCTGTAAAGCAAGATGAATGGAGGATACCAGGTTAAAGAGTGTTTGGAATTCAGAGCAGGGGCTAATAAGTAATAAGGACCAGGATTGTGCTGGCCTCTACTTTTAATTTTCCTAAAGCTTTCAAGGTGGCTTGTCTGGACTGATCTTTCCACAGATGTCTGGGGAACATGCAGAAGTCACTCTTTGCATTAAGCAGCTCAGTGCAGCTGGGCAGCGGTGGAGTTTACAAGCTCTGGAATTGGAGGAGAGCCAGGGCATTGGGTGGTTTCTCTGGGAAGAAAACAGGCAGGTTAAACAAGGGGGAGGCAGAAGAGAAGAGAGAGACACATATGTAAGGCTGGGACAAACATATGGGCTGTAGAAGATTTTCTCATCACCAGGACAAGGATGTTACAGGCAACTTAAGTTCAACAGTTTGGTTTTTGAACAAGACAAAGCAGTGACAGAGATACAAACTGACAGACACCTGCCCCTAAGCAGGGGCAAACATAATGGTATGTAGTCAATTACACCTGGATGCACGCACGCACGCACAAACACACACAGAGTTAGCCACCACTAACAGTTCTCTGGGGTTATCACCATGCTGCCATAGTCTCTAATTTCCACTGAACACAAGCTATTGTGCTAACTGCGGTCAACATAAATACAAGTCTTCTAGGTAGCCCCTTGCCAGGTCTTCCCAGCTTGGCTCATGTTCTCCAGGCCATCGTCCTTGCAGACTTCTGTACAGTCCAGTCCACTAAGCACGGATGCCTGACCTCCTGTCCACCGACTGCAAAGGGCTTTGGATCAGAGCCTTAGGCAGTCCTAGCTAAGTCAATGGAACCACTCAGGTCCTTACTGATGAGCAAGCAGCACTGACCCCGCAAAGCGAAGGGACCAAGTTCCCCAGACTCATTGTAGCTCAGGTCCCTGGTGAGTTCTTGGCTTCCTGTCCCTTGTTTGGAAGAGCTTGTATATTACCCTCTTCTCTCACGTCACATCTGTGCGTTAGGTGGGCAGCCAAGCCCAGCCATGGAGGTTACCCAAGGCTGCATCCACTTCCCAACTGGAGTGCGATCCCTCCCACCCCGCCCCCAAATCACACACCTGGACTTTATCTTAACCATGGAACTAAATCTAATTTTGCAAACAAGCCCTCCCCCCCCCCCCACACACACACACACACTCCCCCAAATCAAACACTGCAGCCCCATGCAAACTTAGAAGTCTGAGCTAATAACTCCAAGCCTTTAACAGAACCAGGAACGGCCTGGCTGTCTCTAACGGGGTCACACGCAGGCTGGGCCCATTCAGACACAAGGCATGAATTCTCTAGGAGACCGTACAGCACACTACAATGGAGGACACCCAGATTCATGGTCTCTCCAAGCCAACGTCCCAAGTCCGCTCTGGTGGCACAGGGCACATCGATGCCGGATTGCTTTCACTTCTGTCTGTACGAAGCTCAGGGCGAATGCGAACCAGCCCAGCTGGCCGGCTGCAAGCCTCATGCAGGGAGATGGAGAGAGTTTGAAATATAAATGGCAACGCTCGCCACCTAGTGGTGGTACAGCAACACAGCAATAGTCATAACTTTTGCGATGAGCAATCATCTACTTCATTAACTTCCTTTGGCAATCAGGAAGGCACTTGCTGATCCCTTCGGCTTTCTGCCGCATTCCTGGTCTCTCTGCTTTTACAAGCAGAGCCCAGAGCACTCAGACTTTCACTTTACTCAGTAAGACCCTAATCCTGTAACATACAGCAGGCCACTGACTAATGCAATTGCAAAGGGGGTGCCCGGAATGTCATTATGCGCAGAATGGTCCTGTTCTTCTTTTCATTTGCTCCCCTCAACAACTGGAATAATGTGGGGGGGGTGTCACCCCCACCTCTAGCCAGGAGGTCCTCATCTCAGCCCTGCAGGGAGCCCCTTCTCAGCACTTAACAGCCAGAAAGGATGGTGCACTAGCCACAACATGTGGGTGATTTAAAGTGGCATGCAGGGACTAGGGAATCTCTGGGGGTCCTTAATGCCCCCTCCCCTTGCAGAAAAGGGGCATTTTCCCCTATAGGGCACACAGGATTCATCAGAGCAGGTTTGTCAAGGAGCGGAAAAATAAGTCAGCCTGACATTTCACACTGCACTGAGATTTTCAAAGATTGCACCAAGTATCCCATTTCAAAAAAATCCCCTCTGCACAGCAAAGAGCTCATTCCCACATTCACCCCAAGTGCCCAATAACCTGGGAGATCCACCTCCCCACAACTGCTGAAGAAGGTGTCCCGCACGTTCTAGTCTCAGAGGACGAGTGAATCCAATGTACAGAGCAGCGTATGCCCTTGGCCCACCCATCTTATTTACACATATTAACAATAACCCATTTCAGCAGTGCCGGACTGCAGAGTTGGAGGTCCTGTGGGCCACACAACTTTATGACCAGATGTCCCCACCATGTACTCGCGACATCTTCCAGTCTGCCGAGTCACCAGTTGGCCCTCCAATATTTCCCACTTAGTCTGAAATCCCTCAGCAAGCTGAGAATCAAACGGATTTCGTAACAGTGGAAACGGAAACGCACCATGTTGCCCGGTAGCACAGAAGAGCATTAATTGCAGTGTGTGCGGGGGAGCGCGTGGGCGAGATGGATCATTGATGTTCTAATGGAACAAGTCATGGGATTAGAATTAAAATTTCTGAAGGCAAAAAAAAGAGAGGAAACAAAACTCAGCTCCGGTGGAGGGGGACGTTTACCCAGGATTCGGGTGCACCCAGGAGGCAAAGAAGGCAGAGAGCAGGTCTTGGCACAGCACATATTATGGACAGGGACGCAATGAAAGCGCCCAACATCTCCGCTTCTCGAGAGCCTTGAGACCCGGCATGCTGCTGGGAAAGGAGCTCAGAAGGTCTCACGTGACAGTTTCCATCAGGAAGGGGATCGCTCCTCTCCACACAACAGGCCCCCCCTACAGCTTTAGTCTATTTTCAGAATGTCCGAGTTTGCCTTCAAGAGGTACAGGCTGTCATCACGGAGGAAACTGCAAGGATAATGGGAGCAGCGTGAGCGGGTTAGAGGCAGCGTGGTGTGGCGGGGAGGGGGTCTAGCCAGAAACTGCCCCATTTGAACCCAAGCTGTTCCAGTGGCAGCTAGTTCAGGCTAATTCCAAAAGAAAAGGGTCTTTTTTGTCGGAAATATGCAGTCAATGCAATATGGAGTCAGTGCCCGGGCAGAAGGGACACCAGGTCACCCAGTCTGACCCGTACCAGGCCACCACCTCCTCCCAGCAGCTGCACTCTGAACCCACCATTTTGTGTTCACTACTGAGAGCCCCCTCCTCAGCAGCTGGAAGTCCACATTACACCAGCCATGGCTCTGAACCTAAATCCCCTGCACTTTGGATCCACCATACATTTTGGCACTGACTCCGTGTCACTCAGATCAGAAGTTGCAAGGAGGTTGGGGGTGCTGGCACCCGGGTCAGGGGACCAGGAAGGCAGGGGGAGAGAGCTTTGGGAATGGGATGAGTCTTCTCTTTGGGTGGGATAGGGTGGACAGTCACACACACTGGGTGGGTGATGTCCAAATGCAGATCCTGGGGAGGGAGAGATAAGGGAGGGGCGGGGACTCCTGCACAACTGGACACAACACCGCCCCCACCCCCCCAAACAGGCCTACCCAGCACGAGCATCCTCGGGCAGAAGTGAAGCTCTGAGCTCCTGTCTGCAGCGGTAGCTAGGCCTGGCTGCCAGCAAGCAGTTCTCTAAAGGGCACCACTCGCATAATTAGTTCCAACCGCTCTCACCCTGTTAGCTTGTTAACTGTAATGAGCTCACATGACATTTACTCCATCTGAAAACATGACCGGCGCCAAGTCCCTGCCCTGCATTTGCTCCTGCACTGCCGACACAGGCGGCTCTGCACCGGGGGCTTCCCTGCTGGGTTACTGGTTTGGGCTATGCGGGCTGGTGGGACACTAACGGGGCAGAATTACCCTCATGCTAAGGGATCCCGCACACTGTCTAGGTACTTGTATGGCCCCCGTCCCTAGTACTGGAGCACCTCAGACTTGTTAATGCACTTACCCCCATGGTACAGGTAGAGAAACTGAGGCACAGAGACAGTAAGTGACTTGCCCAAGATCAAACAGGGAGGCTGTGGTCTCCAGAGTCCCAGGCCAGCAGCCTAACCACAAGATCTCCCTTCCTCCCTGCTCTCAGTGTTGGTGGGTTGTAAGATCTGCCTGTCCAGACTATGCTCCCATTTGGGAAGAACTCACCATGAAACTGCTTCTTGTTGGGATGCCAAATGCTAGAGACAGTTCCCACTTTGAAGGGAGAGCGTCTTTTAGTGAGTCAAAAGCACCCCTTTCCAGGCGTGACTTCGTCTAACCCAAACCTGTCAAGCTGGCGAGATCGGATGGAGCTGTAGCATATGGCGGCCTGGCTGCATAACAGGGGATTACGTTTCAGAGCTTCTTGACGGGCTGTCTGCGTTCTTGCTGTAGCCATTCCAGGGACTGGATCTCAAAGGGGGGAGTCGCCTGGTAAATAATTACACAGTTCTGTCACCCAAACAGCCCCCCAGAGACCGCGTACCCGAGGCTGACCTGTAGAAGAGGACGTTGACAGGAATGGTGCTGATGTGCCAGATGGCGTGGGCGTCGAAGATCCAGAAGAAGGGCGGGAAGTCCAGGAGCTCGAGCAGCGCCAGGCCCTGAAGGAGCAGCACCACCACCATGCACTTCCACACATACGGGAGGCGCTGCTGGTTCCTGACGCACCAGCCCAGCCACCAGAAGAGGTTGAGAAGGCCTGGAAGGCAAGCGGTACAGGGCGGAGGATCTCAGGGTCACAGGAAGCAGGACTTGCTCTTTGGGCTGGGCGAATGTTTACTGCTCAGACAAGGGCAGAGGAAGAGTCACCTCTTCTACTCCACATCCACACAGTTACCCCCCCACTCCCACCTGGACCCTCCCCATGCACTCAGTTCCTCTTACCGATTTCGCTATCCAGGACTGGGCTCCATCGAGAGCTGGCCAACGCCCCGACCACCCTTGCCTCCCCTCCTCTCCCACAAAGGCTGAGCTCACCCTTTGGGGGTGTTTCCGCCCTCTGCCAGAACCTGGCTGTAGACACCGGGCCCTGGAAGTGACTCAGCCCTCGCTTCACTCGCCCGCAGTACTGCTCACAAGCCGATGCGAGTGTCATTTAAATGTGCCCCTGCCACGTCGTTCGCTCCCCTCTCCCCTGCTAGCCCCAGAGCAGGCAGCTCTCAGATCCCTGCAGTCTCATTGGGATTGGGGGAAGCAGGGGGGACTGTGCTCCCCTCCAGCCACACCTGCCAACCTTCCCGCTGTGCCTTCATGTTGCCACGCCCCTTCCTCTTCACCGCCCCCGATCCTCTCACCATAGTCACCTATCCCCACTCCCCAGAACACTTCAGCCTCTGGGGAGTTAACCAGCTGCCTGCCACTCAGCGTCCTGATCACTTTGCTCCTCTCAATTTGTCCCTATGCCCCCACCGTCCAGACCAGATGCCCCAGCGGTGCGCTGCAATGCACTCTGGGCCCTGCCTCAGTGCAAGGCTGCTCCTGCAATGCCAGAGAACGGACATAAGGACAGCCAGCCTCCCAGCTGCCAATGTAGCAAGGAAGCGGAGTGTGGCTAGAAGAGACAGGGTCACAGTGCCCACGTGGCACCCAAGCTTCAGCTGCACCGTCAGCCTTTCGTAGCCAGCGACAGCTCATTCTGCCTTCTGGCTGCCTTCCTCTTTCTGAACCTTTACGACACACCCAGGGTCACGTTTTCAAACTTTCCTCCAAAGCCACGAGGGCTGCCAAGTTACCCTTTTAAAAACGATAAAAGCCGATTCTCACAAAACACACCACCAGGAGCCAGGGCTCGAAGTAAAACACCAAGTAACGGGAGACTCGTGATAACACGGTGCGCAGGGGACAGTGGGAAATGGAGGCACCAGGGGAGAATGACCAGCCCGATGCCACAAGACAAGTCAATGGCAAAGCCAGGAGTCTCACTCCCACCAGTGGCTCGGACCATTAAGAACTCTGGCCAAGGTTTTGAAGCAGCTGAATTTTCTGAAGCAGGCAGGGGTCTGAGGCAGTGCCATGGTACTCAGAAAATGGCATTTTATATTAACTCAAAGGGGGAAATCGGACCAGCATCAAGTCAGGACTGTCCTGGTGATTTCAGTCCTGCAGTCCTTAGATTTAGCAGATAAACAGCCACTCCACCTTGTGCTACAGAGAGCAGATATAACACACACCCTGAGTCCCAGGGAATGGATCAGCCCCTCTTTCCTCAGCACACAGGTGCAGTGGAACAGCTAGGAGACACCATCTCCAGAAGGCAAAGCCAGACAGACTCTCTCCAACCACCGTACGTTCCCAAACCCTGCCCATGGGGGGACACTGAGCACCTAGTGGCTCCAAAGTCCAGGCTGTGTGTGAACTGTATACAGTTCCATTGCTCATGTTCATTCCAAGTCACTACCAAAAAACTGACCCGCCCACCCCGCCCCCACCTTCCAGCCTCCCCCGGGCCTTACCGATCGCCACGTTTGCGGCCATGTTGTAGCCATAGTCAAAGCGCACAAGCGTCAGGTACGAGACATGGCAGGCCAGGAAGAGGATCAGAAAACTCCCGAAGGCATTAGCAAAGGCTGGACGTTTCAGACCCAGGGTCCTACAATGGAAACCGAAACAATGCAGAGAAGTTCTCGAACTCCAGCAGCTTACACGTGTCCTGCAGGACACATCAGCGGCTTCGCACCAGCTCCAGCAACGCACTTCCCACCCCAGGAGATCTCACCTAATCTATTCCCAGCCGCTAGAGAGTCACAGACTTCAAGGCCAGAAGGGACCCCAGATCATCCCATCTGACCTCCTGTATAGCACACGCCACCAACTCCTCCTAGCACCCACATGCTAACCCCAACCACCAAATGAGATCCAAGTATCACAGCCCAGAGGAGACTGGATTATCATGTTCTACAGGCAGAGAACAGGAGGGACCGAGGTGCACCAATGCCCAAGGCACCCCCACAATGGCATGGAAATGGTTAAGTGAGATACCCCCAGATAATCCTGGCAAGTGACCCATCCCCACGTGCTGCAGAGGAAGGTGAAAAAGCCCCTAGGTCATGGCCAATCTTATGTGGGAGAAAATTCCTTCCCAGTCCCACATATGGCGACCTGTTAGACCCTGAGCACGTGAGCAAGAACTGGCCAGCGAAGCCCCTGAGAGAGGGAGAGACTCTGCTCCATGTCACCTCAGAACCCTGGCCCAGCCCGCCCAGTGCCCATCTCCAGGCATGGCCATTCTTGATGCTTCAGAGAAAGGAGAGAAAACAAAACCCACACCCCGCCCCAGGGCCTCGATGGCATTGTCATTTTTCTCCCTATGGCACACAGTTGGGCTCAGTCTAGGGCAGCTGGTGGAATTCAGTGGCCCGTGCCACACAGGAGGTAAGAATAGCAGATCTAGCGATGGTCTCAAGTTCCAGGGGGGGAGGTCTAGGGTGGATATTAGGAAAAACTTTTTCACCAAGAGGGTGGTGAAGCGCTGGAATGGGTTACCTAGGGAGGTGGTGGAATCTCCTTCCTTTGAGGTTTTTAAGGTCAGGCTTGACAAAGCCCTGGCTGGGATGATTTAGTTGGGGATTGGTCCTGCTTTGAGCAGGGGGTTGGACTAGATGACCTCCTGAGGTACCTTCCCACCCTGATATTCTATGATCTAAAAGTTCCTTCTGGCCTTATGCTGTTGGAAGTATAGAAGCAGTTAAGAATCTGACACAACCCCCTGGCAGAGGATGGATCTGCCCTTGCAGGGGAAGATTCAGTGAACTCAGAGGTCTTTCTGCCTCTTAACTACTATGGATCTGATAGCTCACCTTCTTGCCCCAGATACAGCCAGGTAAGAAGAAGAAGTGGTGCTTGCTTCATAAACTGTAGAGCAGCTGAACGCTTTGGGCTGTGTTGACAGACAGCAATAAGAAGCCCCAAGCCCTGGGACACAAGCAGCTCTCTTTAGCAGAATACAAACCTCGCTGGCACTTGCAGGTGGCTACTTCTGTTCCTGAAGTGGCTAACCCTAAAATGGGCACACGCCAGCTCTGGCATGGTCCAGATAATCCTTAGTCCAGCCATGAGTGCAGGGGACTGGACTAGATGACCTCTTGAGGTCCCTTTGATTCTATGATGGGTCTCTCTCCTTCACTTCCTGAATGTTAGGACACAGCAATGCTGATGTCCCTTATCAGAAGTTCAGACACATTCCCCTCTGTGTGAGGGAAAGTGGCACTCCCCAGCTCCTTGTCTAAACAAAGCCACAGTCAGGTTCTCATAGCACAAAGAGGGGAGGAGAAAAGTAAATACCAGGTTACAGCTTATCTAGCTGCAGGGCTTCCAGCCAACTCTGTAGCTGTGAAGCCAGAGACACGCCCATCATCTCAGGGAGACAGGAACCGTACAAAGCTCACCTGACGCAGCACAGGTAGATGGAGTGCAGGATGACGGTGGAAGCGCAGAAGTAATCCATTTTCTGTGGGACAAGAGGCCTGGTTAGATCCCTGGTAGAATTGCAACAAAGAGAGACAAGGAAGGACAGCACAGACACTGATGAGAGTCAGGGAGATCAGGGTTTTAAAGGGCTGAGATTTCCAGAAATGGAACTCACCACGATTTCTTTTCAAGAGTCGTTTGAACATATGTTGTGCACAAGGCAGCAACAATGTCAAACTAGTTTCCATGGGACTTAACTCCGTCCTTACTCAGCTGCCTCTGACAGTTTGCTCAGGTAAGTACTCCTAGGATTTGGCACACAGTGAATATAAATGGGCCATAACGCTGAGAGAATATAGACTAGTAAGAGTAGATTTACCCTTCTATCTGGATCAGGGCCTAGATGGACGGGACACAACGGGGTGGGTGGAAGAAGAAATGCAGCCAGCTAGTCTTCGTGCGAATTCAGTGTCTTTTCAGGCGCTACAACTGGCTGCCCGTTTTGGGTATTTGTACGGCTGCAGCACCCGATAGCCCCACTGCCGGCCAGGACCCCAGACAGCTGGCAGCCCACGTGTCAGAGACAAGCGGTGGAGTCTCTGGTTTTACAGTCACAGTTTCGTACGTTTGGGCACTGACACCTCTCGGGGGGTGCCCAGATTTGTTACACAGAACCCATTTTTCAGATCAGACAGATTCACCAGCCCCCTTTCTGCAGCCCCCCGACTTCACGCCAGCAGCAGAGGGGCATCTTCGGGCATTATGGAGGTAAAGGCAGGTCTCCCTCAGCCACATCTCAGCAGACACTGAACTAGAGAATAGCCATGTGTTCCTCACCCCCGTTGACACCCAGGGCTTGCCTTGTAGATTTCAGGGGGCTGAGAAGCAAGGGTAGATCACAGATCCTCAACTGTCAAGACACGCAAAGCTCCCACAGCAGGGTAACACTCACCTCAGTTACATCAGTGTCCCTTGTATGGAAGACTGTAGACCAGAACCAGGCATTTAATGAAACCTAAGAGAGGCAGACAGTTAGATGTTCTGTATGAGACAGTCCCCTACCCCAGAGAGCTTACAGTAAGAGAAACACAGGAAATGGGATTCATTCGAGAGTGCGCATGGAAGGATAACTTGGGGGTAGACTTTTTACCAACCCTTTAATTTTTAACAAGCCAAGGAACCATTTAACCAGAGAGGACATTTAACAGATGGGTCATCTATTCTCATGTGCACCCTGCAACACCACTGACGCCAACAGAATTGCACAGAAGTAACTGAGGGCCGAACCTGACCTACAGTCTTTTATCGCCAGCCATTGCCAAAGAACCTAGCACTGTCTGAACACTTTCATAGATACCTCGGCCAGAAGGGACCACTACACTGATCTAGTCTGATCTGCCGTATCATGGGCCATAGAACTTCATCCAGTAATTCCTGCGTCAAGCCCATGCCTCGTGGTTGGACGAGGGCATGTTCTCCTGATCTCTGGGTAAAACCTACAAGAGCATTAAGCTCCTAAACTACTTAGGAGAATTTCTTTTACTTTCTTTAAAGCTTGTTTCTATACATGGTTTTTTCTTTTGACTGCAGTGTATATATTTAAAAATAAAGCAGAACTGAGGACAGCTCCTACACGACATTTCCTGCAATTCCGTTTATGCAGCTGAACTGAATAATAATACCTGCTTCTCAGGGATGTTTGTGAGCTTAATCAAATGCCTGGAGAAAGCTTTGCGATCCTTAGGTGAAACCACATTGGGCCTCCAGCATGGTGCCTGGAGAGTTCCACGTGTCCTGGAGCACAATTAACCCCCGTTTTTTCCAGTCTCTCTCTCTCCTGCAACTCTTTAATCCCTGCACGCAAATGAGCTCTTTCAAACAGGGTTATAAGATCATTAAATCAACAGCCTTGGGCTACACACCTGAGAAGTTCACAGGACTCACACCAAATGAATGCCCTTGCGCTCTTTCGGAAGTCTCAGTGTACGAGCCACAGTGCAGATTCAACACGGGAGACTGTAACCAGCTTTTGTTATTTTATTAAGCATAGACCTGAAGCAGCTCGGCCTGGTCGGGTGGGGGTGTGGTGGAAGACAAACTATTGATACTATCTAAATAAAGTGATCTAGAACAGAGGGAACAGAGTCCAGAGGTGGCTCCAGTTACTAGATTAAGAAGATGCTCCTAAGTGACGCAGGTAGGAGCTTCAATCGCCAGAGTGAAATCAGTCATCATCCAGACCTAAAGAAACCAGAAACTGACGAAGCTCAAAGAAACAATCCAAGCAAAGGTTAGAGTCCCTGGGTTGGAGATCGGGCTCTGAAGCCCAGGGAGGGGTGTGGGTTTTGGAGCCCAAGCTCCAGTCTGAGCAGGAAAACCTACATGCTATTTTTAGCACCGTAGCACAAGCCTCAGTCTGCAGACCCAGGCTGTGAGACTTGCTGCCGTGGGTCCTTTTTTGCAGTGTAGATGGAGTTCCTTGTAGCGTGGGGAGCAGGTGGTGGGGAAGAGCACAAACTTCTCAGTGCTTTCCACGTGGAAAAGAGAGGGATGAAGAGGAAAAGCAGGATTTGTAGAACAGTAGAAACAGAAATGGAAATCAACAGCAGGCCAAATGCACCGCAGCCTAACTCCAGGGAAGTCAGGGGAGTTAGCTAAGTGAGGGATATGGCCCAGTGTATTGCAAAGAGAAGCAAGACTTGGATTTCCCTTTACAGAGCAGCTATGCTTCATCACCTCATTAGCCGAGGCATGGGATGGATGGGAGAGGATTAAGCGACCACTGCTATTCACTAAGTGCCAATTGTTCATGTGAATCACGTTTCCACTAAACGTCCCATCAATCTCATTATCAAGAATCCACGAAAACCGGATTTAAAGAAGCCTGTAGCAAGGATTGGCAGTGTCTAATGGGGCTGTGCACATTTTTTGAATCAGCTGTTTATTGAAATGCTCTGGAGCAGGGGTGGGCAAACTATGGCCCACAAGCTGTTTTAAGTCGGCCAGCTAGCTCCCGCTGAGGAGCGGGGTTGGGGGCAGGACCATGCAGCTTGGCCCCACTCCGGTGCTCTGGCTGGGGCACTGGGTCGGGGGCCGCAGCACATGGCTCCGGAAGCCACAGCATGGCCCTGCTCCGGCTCCTACTTGCTCCAATGGGAGCTGCAGGGGCGGTGCTTGCAGATGGGGCAGCATGCAGAGCAGCCTGGCCACACCTCCGCGTAGGAGCCGGAAAAGGGACATGCCACTGCTTCCGGGAGCCGCTTGAGGTAAGCGTCACTCAGAGCCTGCACCCCTGATCCCCCTCCCCAAACCCCTGCTCCAGCCCTGATCCCCCTCCCCAAACCCATCGATCCCAGCCCGGAGCACCCTCCTGCATCCCAAACCTCTCATCCCCAGCCCTACCACAGAGCCCACATTCCCAGCCATAACCTGCACCTCTTCCCGCACCCCTGCCCCAGCCCTGATCTCCCTCTCACCCTTGGAACCCCTCGGTCCCAGCCCAGAGCACCCTCCTACACCCCAAACTTCTCATCCCCAGCCCCACCCCAGAGCCCTCACCCCCTCCTGCACCCCAACCCCAATTTTGTGAGCATTCATGGCCCACCATATAATTTCTATTCCCCGATGTGGCCTCGGGCCAAAAAGTTTGCCCTCCCCTGCTCTGGAGACAAATGAACAGCCTTTGCTCACTATCAACAGTGCCTCACCTGCCCTAAAGCGGTAATTGCAGGTGCTTTGATAAGCAGATCCAAAGGTTGCCAGATTTTGGTGGAGCTCCCATAAATGCCTCTTTGTAGGCTCTGCTAAGACGTTGTAGTGTAACTTCCGACAACGCTACTCCTGGATCAGCTGCCCTCTCCACCCCACATGACTGTCACTGCACCTCCCATGGTGACACGGCACTAAGAGCTGGTCTGCACTTAGAAAGCTACCCAGTGTTAGAACATGTGTTAATTACCCCGTATCAAACACAGCTTAGTCCTGGTCTCCAGCGAATGCTGTTACGTTTAACAGCATGTCAGCCAGTCATTGTTAACTTGATAGGACACTGGGATTAAACCCAGCTGGCCCAGACAATGTTAAACACATTGAATTGACAAGAGTGGGTCAGACACATGGTCCATCTCGTTCTGTGTCCTGCAGAGGAAGGTGCAAGAACCCCGCAGTAGCAGGTGTGGGATAAACTGCCACCCCACATCAAGCTTCATCATGGCTTAAGCCCACAACAGTCCTTGTCCGCATTTAGGCTCGGATCCTTAGAAGGTACCCAGGCATCTAAAGAGGCACACGGTGTCTAAATCCACCATTTAGGTGCCACTGACATTCTCAAAACTGCCACTCTGCTGCTGCTTAGACACCTACATTTCCAGTAGTCGGCATTTGCAAAGCCCTGACCTTGCCTGACAGCCACTCAGAGCCCTAGTTCAAGGCAAAGCCCTGAAGCAGGGTTCTCGGACTAGGCAGAGGAACTCCAATTTCACCAGCAGAGCCTGGTCCTGCAGGCGTGCTCCGAGCACACCGAACACCCGTTACCTGCCAACCTGTCATCAGGAGGGCTGGAGACAGCCCACCAATCGGTGGAGAGGCAGAAGGGCACCCATACAAGACAGCCGGGGTACAGGGAAATGTAGAGCAAGAGTGTGAGAAGTGTCAAGGGAAACAGGAAACAAAGACACAGGATTTTGGCTGCTAGGCACCTTAGCCAGGTCAGCCCTTGCCTCCAGGAGAGGGTTCACAGCAGAGGATCCTGAGCAGAGGAAGGCACATCTCTCAGACTGCGTGCACCAAGCCAGCCACTTCAGTGCCTAACTCTCTCTCCTCAGCATTCACTTCTGGCTAGCTTACGCACTCACCACCCAGCTAGCCAGCTGCTGAAAAAATCCTTTCCTGAGGCACCCAGCTCTGCCCATGCACTGCGTGCCTTGCTCTGGGCTGAGAGTTGCACTGGGCGGCAGACCCCCTAGGAGTTAGGCTGAGAGGAGAACTCTGGATACCTTTAAGAACTTGGGCCTTCGCATTTCAATTGTATAGTTACTAGCATTCCAACTCCCAGTGCTGACAAGACCTACGGGAGAATCCTTTCCTGTATCCAGCAGTGGAATCACGACAGTCACAAAACACTGTGTTGAACACAAGCCTGCTCTACACACATACCAGCCACCCCTCCGCCTAGGGCCTGCTCTTGTACCGAAGTCCAAGGAAGCTGACAGTACTCAGCATCTCCTAAGACCAGTTCCCTAAAGCACAGGCGTAGGGCCAGACAACACAAGCACTGTAACAAGGTTTAAAAGGCCAAGACGAGGGCTGGACAACTTTATGATCAATGTCATCTGTAACGTTGCACTGAGAGTAAATCAAATCTCATGCTTCAGGGCACAGACTGACTACCTGGTACCAGCAAACTCACAAAAGAAAGTCACTAGGGATACTGCGCAGGAGCCAAACGAAGCAGTTTTAAAGGAAGGAGATGAAATGTTTAAGGCGTAGATGACAGCTGGGTAACGGAAGAATAAGAACAAAGGGGAAAAAAAAAACCCCTCCGTGGAGCTGTAAGAAACGAATTACATTTCAAGGAGGAAGGAAAACCAAGCCAAAGGCTAAATTAATAAACCCAGGAAGCAAACATGGTTTAATCACTCGAAAATTGATACTATCGAATAGCATGGTGCTGAAAGCTGGTGCAGTGAAGCGTAGTCACCTTGCAACAGACAAAAACGGCACATCCTGCTCCGAGTAGCAGGTGTGAGCCAGAGGAACTCGATTCATTCGGATGGCGCTCATCCTGATTTAACTGGTGAAACCCAGAAGAATTTGGCCTGGCTGGATTAAAACAGAGCAGTTTTCCAACAGAACCCAGAATACTGACCAGCACTCTTATTGTCCCTGGGGGAGAAACGGGCTGCTACACTAGACTGCCACAGAGCAGCCGGATAATCCAACCCCACACAGTACAGCACCTGCAGCAAGCCTAGGAGGCTGGAACTCAACTATACAGACGGAGTCAGGTTAATCTGTTGCATTAAAATGGCAATTCACAGCCTCAGACAGTGACAGCAGAGGGTCTGTTCTCTTCCACGCACACACAGCGCTAGTCATTGCTAACTCAAGAGCAGTGTTCTTTACTCTGCCCCATAATGTGCAGTTGGGAACAATACACAAGGGGAATTCATAATCCCCTTTGGGCAAGGTGCAAGGTCACGTTTCTTTGTATGTTAAAGGAAACCTGAGTAGCATACTCCCCCATTTATCTGTCCTCACTGCATGTACATAGGGGTTTGCACACTGCTTTCACTGTCCTACAAGTAGGCAAGACACTAGGCAGGAATTATTTTTGTTAGTCCACCAACTCACCTTTTTAAAAAACTTTGAATTTGCGGTAAAACATTAGGTTTGTTGCCATCTTAGATTACCTCATAACAGGACCCCATAATAAAGGAACATTTATCTACCTTTTTTTTTTAAAAAAGCAGAGTGTGTTATTAACCATTAGAACTAACTAGCTTCAAATCAGGCCTGGGCGCTCTTTTGGAGGAGATGCTGTAGCCAAGCACAAGTAATTGGGCTCAATACAGGGGTGACTGGATGAGATTCTATGGTCTGTGTCTGAGGTCAGATGATCAAACGGTCCCTCAGGATGCCTCAGACTCGGAGTGCTTTGAGCAGTCCTGAGTCTTGCACTGCAGAGATGGACATAACCACCTTGTGCAGCACTGCAAAATCACCACAAACAAACATTCACCAATCCAGGCACGATAGCCACTCACATCCCTTAGCCCAATGATGGGGAAATTATATTTTCAATGCCCATGAATAGGATCTAAATCTCTGTCACCAGTTCCCATTTAGTCCTTGGGGATAAATTAATAACAGGGCTGTGGAGGATTTCTCTTTAGAAGGCTCTTCATGACAAGGATGCCCTGAACGGCAGCTGTTTACAGCTGAGACCCTGGTCAGGCTCCAGTATAACTGGGGTTGTGGTCAGCACACTGGGAGGCCCAGAGATAAGTCACGATTCTCTGTGCACCACGTGTCTCTAGAGCCGAGCTCTATCCAGCGAACCTGCTTCTAGAAGACCCTTGAAGTGGTATTCCAGACACGCCCTCTGTGGTGCAGTTCATTCATTCCCCAGACTCTCTCCTCCTTGGACACAAATTGTTACACCCAGTATTTACAAGTGGAGAGCCAAAATCTGGTCCCTCCAGAATCACAGAAGCTGCTTGGACAGCCGGGCACAGGACAGGACAGGACATGACATGGATGCGCCTTTGCCCAGTGCCTGGCCAGGCTACTTGCATGGTGTCAATCTCAGGATCAAGGGCACTGTGTGTGAAATCTTTGCCATCATTTAGCAGGGATGTGCTTCCTAAAAAAAATCTAAACCATTCAAAGTGAAAGCTGCAAGTTACACAAGTCTTTCATTTTCAGGGAGAAACTTCTCCTGGGGCTATTGTATTCTTCCTCCCTCAAATACTTCCTCAGTTTCAGTAGATCTGATGCCCTTCTTTCCCGTGCACTTTCAGATAGCTCCTGCATGCCACTCCAGAGTTGGCTGCATTTTAGTGATCCCTTCTGCAGATCGCTTGGGGATGAAAAGCGCTCTCTAAATGAAAGTTATTATAAACAAAAAGAAAAGGAGTACTTGAGGCACCTCAGACACTAACAAATTTATTTGAGCATAAGCTTTCACAAAAGCTTATGCTCAAATAAATTGGTTAGTCTCTAAGGTGCCACAAGTACTCCTTTTCTTTTTGCGAATACAGACTAACATGGCTGCTACTCTGAAACCTGTTATTTTGAACTGTCACTATTAAATACAAAACAAAACAGGAAGTTCTATAAAGGGGTTGGGGAGGAGGAATGAAAGGAATGAGGAGAGTTTTCAAGCTACCTACCCAGGCAAAGGCGATACAGGTGTGGTACATGGGAGAGGAAGGCGGGACAGATGCTTTGTATCTAGTCAACATCACAAAGTTGGCAAGTCCATTAAGGAAAGAAGCAAAGGCAGAAGCAGGTTCCTGGAAGAACAGGAAGCGAGAAAAGGGCCACTAAAAAACAAAAATAAAAGGGGAAGGGAAAAGAGGAACACAGTTAACAAAACAAATTCACATTTCCAGTTCTTTCCTGCCAGCTGTAGGCAGCAGAAGTTAAACCTTCTACCCTGCTGGAACAGCCAGACTAGAGCGCCAGGTGAAAAAAATTTCAAACACTCTGTTCTTGGAACAACTCTGAGCTATGTTTTAAATCTCTCCTTTCGTAGTCATTTTCGTCTTCCTCTTTCTAGCCACTGAGGCCCGCCAGCCCAGGGATTAACGGTTCAGACAGGTTAACTGGCAAGACGAACACCTACCATTAACATTTTACATCCCTAACAGAGACCAACTTGCCCAAGGTCATACAGGGCAGTCTGTGGCAGCACCAAGAATTAAGTCCCATTCCAAGTGCCTGAACCACAAGACAAACCTGTCTCTCTGTACATTCCTCTTCCTTCCTCAGGACACCTAATGGAAACAGGATCAGTGCTGAAATCAGAGCTAAGTCAAGCCCAGACATGCATGCTAAAGGCTCTTCCACTCACCAGGTTATCAGGGGCATTTGGCACAGAAACAGGAGTGGGACAGGGGGTTAAATGATCTTATTTAAAATTCTTTCAGCCCCTATGAAGATGCCAGGCTCCCCTAGGTTCAGTAGCGATGCACCATTCAGAGCGGTCACAGGATCCACAAAGCACACTGACAGGCTCCTGGTATCAAGGATAGGCTAGAAAAATGGCATATCGGGCCTCTCTAGTGAACCCAGAAGTGCCGGCAGATTTTAACTGAGGATTGAAAGGATTTTTTTTTATTTAGAAGCTTCATAAAATGTGTGCGTGTTGGATGCTCCCAGCAGGCTTCTCAGTGGGAGCCTTCAAGCACATATGAAAACAATAAATAATTCAGAATACTTTGCCTTTCCTCTCACCTTCTACGCCAGGTTCTCAGAGAGCTTGGAAAACATTAATGAATTTAGCCACGTAACCCCCCTCTAAGTTCATATTATTCCCCCACCTTTACATTTTACACAGCTGTCCCATGAGGGGTTCATACCAAGGAATTGCAGGTCTGATTTTCAGAGGAAGCAGAGCGCCCAACACTTCAACTGAAGTCAATGGGAGATGCAGACATCCAGCACTGCTGAAAAACAGGACCTGAGCATCTTAAGGTGGGCACTTAAAAAACAGAAGAGCCTAAACTAGACAGCACTTTGGAAAACCTGGCCATATACGACTTCCCCAAAGTCTGTGGTAAGCTGTGGTACAATTCAAATCTAGGTCTACTGACTCCCATGCTTAACCACAGCCCATCCTTACTTTCCACAGCACTAGGTACCAATCATCTGTACAAAAAAAGATCCTGTTTCTCATGCAGAGATCAAGGGGAGAAAAACACAGACAAGAGAACTTGCAGGAGATGAATAGTTTCTAAATAACAAGTCACCCTCCCCCTGCACTGGCAGGTTGCTAGTGGTACCAAGCAAGTCATCCTTTTCTTGGACTTCATGATACAGGTAGGGTGGTGAACTGAAACCAAGTGCCCATAAGCAGGGCACAAGCAGTTCCCTGAAATTACAGGACTCTATTTTGCCACAAGGTTGATCCAAGAACCAACAGCGAGTAGTTCGCCGAAAAAGATAGAGACATTCTCATGGCTGCAGCACAGGTCACAGGAGTTATGATCTGAGGCCAAATGGCTCTGTGCCAAATTACTGCTCACCTTGCCATGAAACTGAGGCACTCTGTAACCTTCCTGGACATAAAGCCCCACTGTAAGCCACATGCACTCATATTTACAGTCATCTCTGCAGGTCCAGCCTGAAAGAGACACAAAGAGGAGAGACGGAGCCACTTATTAGGAGGAGACAACAATGCAATGTAGAATTTATTTCAGCAGTTCAAGTTGCTTGCATCCCCAATAGACTGGGTGTGTCACAGAAGGAGGATGGGATAGAAAGGTCTCCGTGAAATGTAGCTCAACACCGATGTGTCTATTGCACAAGTTGATCTGACTATCCCTTTGGTAGTGTCAACATCCCCTTTGATACCTCCTGCTTTGCATATGTATTAAGCTAAGGTACAATGAAATCAACTGACTGACAAGTTCTGAAGGCATTGGCACTAGGTGGCGTTTTCTGACTGCTATTCTTCTGCACTTGCAGTAAGTTACAGTCACAAATAAACAAGGAACCTGAGAATATGATCTCCAACAGGCAAAGGTGACTGTTCCGGATTCCGAGGCCCTTCTGTTGGTTCACAGAGGCCATGTCTACTCAGCAAAGAAAAACCCATGGCCAGCCTGTGCCTCCCAACACAGGTTCACAGGGCTCGGCTGTGGGGCCGTTTCATTTCGGTGTAGATTTCTGGGCTCGGGCAGGAGCTCCAGCCTGAGCCCAGAAGTCTACACAACAATGAAACAGCCCCACGAGCCCCAGTCAGCTAGCACAGACCAGCCAAGGGTTTTTCTTTGCTGTGTAGACATGATCAGAGTGGGTACAAGCAGGCGGCAGCACTGCAAGACCCTATGCTCACATACCTGTCTGAACAGGAAACGACCACCTCCATAGGAAAGGCATGGTCTCTGCGACCCATTTAGTCCTCAGTACACCTGCTAAGATTACCAACAAGCAGGCCAAACAGGGAGGTGGTTTGTGTGAGGTGGACACCCGTCCACTAGAACGGTGCTGAGAACCACCCAACCCCTAGTAAATAGGCAACGGAACAGCCATCAGAGGGTCACAACTTTTATTGCTGCTATCGAATGGATTTAGATGGTCCCATTGGTTCCATAAAACCTCTCCACTCCCCAAGGTGATCCAGCTTATGTTAAAGATTGGTGTTGATTTACTTCTGCTACTTGTGCTGTCTCTCTCTCTCTCATGTTATCTATCATTCTCATGACCTTTGCACCTCCAAGGCATCTGGTTTAACTAAGCAACTGAACCCACCCACAGGATTAAAAACATAGCAAGGAGACCCACAGGGGAAAACTGGTTCCTCTGAACAGCCCCAGGATCAGTTTACTTCCCTCACACTAGCTCGGATCTTAAATTCTAGACAAGCCTAGGACCTTAAATTCATGATTTTGTTAGACTCTAAAAATCATGGACTTAATAAAGACACTGGATTTATGGCCCATTACAATAATCTATAACCCGCTAACCCTCCTTTGTCCTACTACCACGGAGATGTTGACGGCCCTCTTCCCCTTGAATGGTCTCTTACACGTTCACTCCTTATGCTCAGCAAGCTGCTCCACCTCGTATTTAGCTGCCACGCTCAGATTACCTTTCCTAGACCTGAAAAGCGCTCTACGTAAGCGCGGAAGTCGGTCCAATAAAAGATATGACCTCACCCACCTTGGCTCCCACCAGCTGCACTGTCAGCCTGACGGTCGCCCCGTGTCACCTCTGTCAGGATGCCCAGAACCTGTTCCCTCCCTCTCAAGTGACTTATCACGAGGCTGGAGGGAAACAGGTTCCAGGCAGGGAAGGGAGAGATCTGGGCTCTGGGAGAACCGGTTGCCGAGGATGCTGATGGCAGGAGTTTTTGTGGCGGGGGGGGGGGCGGGAAATGCCAGAGCACGCACGTGCTGGGGACGAGGGATTATGGGGTGAGGACAAGGATCCCCGGGGGGGCAAGGCACAGCGTGGGGGGGCGGGGGACCCCTCAGCAATGGAGCCAGGGGAGTCGCTGCTGCCAGGCCAGTAAGAGCGACGGGCCTTGAGCAGCACGGGGTCGGGGGCGCGCCGAAAGGGGAGGGGCGCTGAGGAGAGTGGGCGGGGCCAGCCCCTCCTCCCGCGGGGGGCGTGGCTCAGGCGGTGGGGGGGGGGGACGTGAGGGGCGGGGCTCGGTACCTGTCAGGCTCATGTAGAGCGGCTGCCGGGAGCGGAAGTGCCGCAGGCCGGCCCCCGAGCAGTTGCGCCGCTCGCACTGGGCCAGGCAGTCCCGGTACACGGGCTCCCGATCCCCCTGCGAGCCCCGCACCGGGCCCGGCGCCGCTGCCGCCCCGAGCAGCAGCAGCAGCGCGGCCCCTTTCGCCGCCATCCCGCCGCCAGACCATGGGACAGCCGCTTCCGGCCGCACCGGAAGGGGCCGCCGCCTCCCCTCGGCAACTGGGGCCGCGCACAAAGGTTCCCGGCTGCGGGCCAAGGGGCTCATGGGAAATAGTGTCTGTCCAGCCCCCACCAGGCCGAGAGGATCATGGGAAATAGTGTGTTATCCTCCAGGGCAGAGGGGATCATGGGAAATAGTGTCTGTCCAGCCCCCACCCGGGCCGAGAGGATCATGGGAAATAGTGTGTTACCCTCCAGGGCAGAGGGGATCATGGGAAATAGTGTGATACCCTCCAGGGCAGATGGGATCATGGGAAATAGTGTCAACTCCCCACTCTGGGCAGAGGGGATCATGGGAAATAGTGTCAACTCCCCACCCTGGGCAGAGGGGATCATTGGAAATAGTGTCAACCCCCCAACCCAGGCAGAGAGGGTCATGGGAAATAGTGTCAACCCCCCAACCCAGGCAGAGAGGTTCATGGGAAATAGTGTGTTACTGTCCAGGGCAGAGGGGCTCATGGGAAATAGTGTCTGTCCAGCCCACACCTGGGCAGAGGGGATCATGGGAAATAATGTCAACCCCCCCCCAGGGCAGAGAGGATCATGGGAAATAGTGTGTTACCCTCCAGGGCAGAGGGGATCATGGGAAATAGTGTCTGTCCAGCCCCCATCCGGGCAGAGGGGATCATGGGAAATAGTGTGATACCCTCCAGGGCAGATGGGATCATGGGAAATAGTGTCAACTCCCCACCCTGGGCAGAGGGGATCATGGGAAATAGTGTCAACCCCCCACCCTGGGCAGAGAGGGTCATGGGAAATAGTGTCAACCCCCCAACCCAGGCAGAGAGGTTCATGGGAAATAGTGTGTTACTGTCCAGGGCAGAGGGGCTCATGGGAAATAGTGTCTGTCCAGCCCACACCTGGGCAGAGGGGATCATGGGAAATAATGTCAACCCCCCCCCAGGGCAGAGAGGATCATGGGAAATAGTGTGTTACCCTCCAGGACAGAGGGGATCATGGGAAATAGTGTCTGTCCAACCCCACCCGGGCACAGGGGATCATGGGATATAGTGTCAACCCCCCACCCTGGGCAGAGAGGGTCATGGGAAATAGTGTCAACCCCCCACCCAGGGCAGAGGGGGTCATGGGAAATAGCGTGTTACCCTCCAGGGCAGAGGGGATCATGGGAAATAGTGTCAAACCCTCCCACCCAGGCAGAGGGGATCATGGGAAATAGTGTGTTACCCTTCAGGGCAGAGGGGATCATGGGAAATAGTGTCAAACCCTCCCACCCAGGCAGAGGGGATCATGGGAAATAGTGTGTTACCCTTCAGGGCAGAGGGGATCTTGGGAAATAGTATCTATCCCCCAGGGCAGAGAGGATCATGGGAAATAGTGTCTTACCCCTCCAGGGCAGAGAAGCTCATGGGAAAGTGTCTATCCCCCCTGCAGGGCAGAGAGGATCAGATACACTAGGGTGACCAGATGTCCCAATATTATAGGGATAGGCCCGATATTTGGGCCTTTTTCTTATATAGGCACCTATTACCCCTCACTCCCATCCCGATTTTTCACCCGTGCTATCTGGTCACCCCTACACAGACACTGAGGTTCATGGGAAAGTATCCCACACACACCCCTAGAAGAGAGGATCATGGGAAATGGTGTCTGTCTCTCCAGGTTGAGAGGCTTATGGGAATGAATAACCACTCTAACCACTAACTGCTCTAACCACTAGACCCCAGTCCCGTCAGAGCTCGACTAGCTCAGCACACACAAGAGCAAGGCCCCTAGATTTCAGTGGACTGCCTCTGGTTTGCCATTTCTAAGCCATTCCCTATGGCATCTTCCCAAAGCCCTAATACCAAAGCAGCAGCTGCAACCTGGGAGACATTCTTCTGTTTGCAGTAATAGGGCTGGTATCCTCTTGGTTGCAGCTGCTAGATGGCAACATGATCACAAACACACAGGCAGGTCTGTGTTCAATGCAGCTGCAGAGTCCTATCCTGATCCTGCCCATTTTCCCCTCAGAGACGGACAGGCCCAGCACATCAGAGAGTTAAAATGCTAATGTCTAATGCTACAGTGAGGGACAAAAGTAGGGAATGAAGGTAGGAGAGGGAACAAATTGCCCCACACCAAGGCCTTGTCTACACATGGACATTGCACTGGTTTAACTTAAATAGGTTTTTTAACTGATTTACTTAGACAAGTGCAAACCTTGTGTGGACACATTTTGGTTTAAAGAGTAGTTTATTTTCATTTATCTTAAACTGATTCCTAATCAACATCAGGCAAACCAAAACCTGGTTTAAATCAAAGCCAGCACACCCACATGGCCTTTTGCACCAGTTTATTTAAATCAGTTTAAAATCACACCTTCAGTTAAACCAGCAACAACTTTCTCATACGGACAAGAGCTCAGTTAAGCACATGCAAATCTATGTGTAAACAAGGCCCACAAATGATAATGCCTTAATGCCAAATTGGCAGAGGGTTTGATTTGGAAATATCCAGGCCAAAAGGAACTTCAGTTCCTCCACCCTCTCCCCCAAGACCCTTTCAAAACAAAGCTGCTCTCTCATTGACCAGTAGTTCCAGGGCAGTGCTCACCTAACTTAGTTCTATCTTGCAGAGTAGATGGGATCACACTGTTTGTAAATTGTGTTCCTGAATCAGGGTACAGCTTTCAGCCGGCTTGGCCCCCATCTACACTCCAAGATGCAAATGTGTTGTAACCATCTGCATCCATGCACTGTGACAAGGTCCCCTGGGACCCTCTTCGTTTTTCTCTCTTGCCTGCACTGTCTCAACCCTTGGACCTGTCTCGGTCTGCCCCTGCCCACTCTTTCACACACATCCCAACGGCAACACAATTGCACGGATTGTAAAGTGGTGCCTGGCTATTATCAGGTGCAGATTACAGGGAACTCGAGCAATAAACTCGTTTTCCTGCCTTCGTTTTCCCTCCCCTTTTCAAACGTCTGCTGGAAAAGGAGAAAAACAATAACAACAACAGATGGACTTTTTTTTTTTTTGGCTGCCTGGAAGGCTCAGCGGAGGCTTGAATGGAGTTCATTCTCTAAGAGCCCCTCCTGCTTCCAAGATTTTCTTCCCCAGGGTCTAATCTCTCAGGCCGACTCCTCCCCCAAACCACCCTCTCCTGACCACACTCTCCTCCTTATCTGAGACAGAACTGTGGCAGCCCATTATAGCCCTGATGACGACTTCCAACCACACAAGGAAATTAAAGGAGGGCTGCCAAATATAGCAAGCTCTTCTCTTCGTCTGTCTTCTGAGGCTGGGAACAGGAATCGAACACCAACTTCCCAGCTGCGGGATCCTGCCAGATGTGCTAATACCCGCTCAGATTCAGATCACACATGCTATCCAGAGATATACCCTCTGGGACACAATCCAACTGCCCCACACTAGGCATCTCCACTTAGGGTATTAACAAGCAGATTCCCCACCCTGCACTGTCTGTTTAGGATATTCATAGAATCATAGAATATCAGGGTGGGAAGGGACCTCAGGAGGTCATCTAGTCCAACCCCCTGCTCAAAGCAGGACCAATCCCCGACTAAATCATCCCAGCCAGGGCTTTGTCAAGCCTGACCTTAAAAACCTCTAAGGAAGGAGATTCCACCACCTCCCTAGGTAACGCAAAACGCATTCCAGTGCTTCACCACCCTCATAGTGAAAAAGTTTTTCCTAATATCCAACCTAAATCTCCCCCACTGCAACTTGAGACCATTACTCCTCCTTCTGTCATCTGCTACCACTGAGAACAGTCTAGATCCATCCTCTTTGGAACCCCCTTTCAGGTAGTTGACAGCAGCTATCAAATCTCCCCTCATTCTTCTCTTTCGCAGACTAAACAATCCAAGGTCCCTCAGCCTCTCCTCATAAGTCATGTGTTCCAGTCCCCGAATCATTTTTGTTGCCTTCCGCTGGACATTTTCCAATTTTTCCACATCCTTTCTTGTAGTGTGGGGCCCAAAACTGGACACAGTACTCCAGATGAGGCCTCACCAATGTCGAATAGAGGGGAACGATCATGTCCCTCGATCTGCTGGCAATGCCCCTACTTATACATCCCAAAATGCCATTGGCCTTCTTGGCAACAAGGGCACACTGTTGACTCATATCCAGCTTCTCGTCCACTGTAACCCCTAGGTCCTTTTCTGCAGAACTGCTGCCTAGCCATTCGGTCCCTCGTCTGTAGCGGTGCATGGAATTCTTCCGTCCCAAGTGCAGGACTCTGCACTTGTCCTTGTTGAACCTCATCAGATTTCTTTTGGCCCAATCCTCTAATTTGTCTAATATTGACTAGAAATACTCTCTTGTACTCAAGTTATTGACCTCTGTTTAGAATCCAGAAAATTACAAAGAAAACTAGTTTCTTCTTAACAAGATACTTTCTCTGGGGCCTTTTATCCAAGGGCCTCAAGCTTTCAGAGCATTAAGTCTTGCAGCCTCCCTTATTTAAGTTTTATTAAGCTATTTTAGAGCAGGGGAAACTGAGGCATAGTGAGAGAAGTGACTTGCCCTAGGTTACACAGCTGGGTTAGTGGCAGATCTAGGAACTGAACCTTGGTGTCCTCTTTTCAGTCCCTTATCACTAGACCAACTGCTCTTGACTTATGATAGTGACTAGTTAGTCCCTTCCTCTTGGGATAGGTTCAGATCTAGCTCCTGGTGAACAGTGAATGGAAATTATCGCCATCTGATGGCTGTTTGGTGGCTTGTGTAAATGATTTTGGGGGCCTCAACGAGGGACTATCTGAGAAAGAGGGTGTTTTCTGTGGAAAATTTTAATGAAAACCATTTTTTTTTCATTTAACTTTTTCATGGTAAATTTCATCTTTTTGGTAAAAAAACAAAAACACTTTTTAATTTGGAAATGCCACCATGGTGCCTCATGGGAGTTGTGGTTTGGGTGCCTTGTGCTCCCCTTTTGCTCTGGGGTCTGGACTTCATTGCTGGACTACATCTCCCATGTGGCCTACATTTCCCATGATGCATCACAATCTCCTCTCCT